TCCTCTAGCTGCTTTCCCAGCAGATCTACTGACGGGCAACCGACACGTGCTAGAGTAATCACGGCTCAGGTACTTGAAGCTCTGTTCCCTGTTAAAACAAGGGACATTTTCGGTCCCCATACGAAACGGAGGCTTCGTATACACTGCAGGTCTACTCCAGTCATTTGCAGGGCTTTACACTTGGACACGCTTACTTCTAGGCCATGCCTCCCGAAGAACAGTCATGGCATTGATTTTAAGATTTATATTGTGCGGGGACTCGCCCACAACAACATAATCGTCTGCTAATAGAAGCACTGATACTTGGCTGTCACCGATTCTGGCCCCCTTCATCTTTTCCAATTTGAATATCAGATCATTGATCACGAGGTTGAACACGAACCCTGACATAGATCATTCTGCTTCTCCCCTCGGGCTATAGGAATACTCGAATTGCATAACCTTTGGCATTCGACAGTTGTCTATGCCTCCTCATACCTTCCTTGGATATACCTGATAGTATCCTCATCCACGCCCTTCGCACGGAGGGCATCCGAGATGGAAATCAGGTACATTTGGTGGAAAGGCATTCTTCTAGTACCATTTTTGGCGATACAATTAAGTATCGCCAGCAAACGGTCTTATCGAAAAATCGAGTTGATGCGGGAGAACGTAGTGTGGCATCAGCGACAGGTGCTGGCTGTGGCTCTCTTTGAGATGACGCTGCAGGCCCCTCAAGTTGGCGCAGGCCTTCCCGCAGTCATCGCAGGTGAACTGCTGCCTAGCGTCGGCCTCAGGGTGGCCTCTTTTCAAGTGCAATCTATCTCAAGACCAGGTATTGTTCGCCCCGCTACAGACACTGTGGCAAAAAGGTACGGCAAATTCTGTTAATTTTTTTGCCAGGATTCTCCGTAGCCCTCTTCCCTCGTATCAATATTCTCCGTAGGCTCTTACAGTATTCTCCGTAGGGCCGTACAGTATTCTCTGTAAGTCCGCACAGTCTTCTCCGTAGGACCTGGAAGACTGTATAGTCCTACGGAGATCACTGTAAGGTCCTACGGAGAATACTGTGCTGTCCTACGGCAAATACTGTAAGAGCCTACGGAGAATATTGATAAGGGGGCTACGGAGAATTACCACAAGCTGTTTACAGAATTTTCCGTAGCTTTTTGCCACAGTGGATACTGCAGTGATGCAAGCCGTCAGCACTGGGCTTCGGGGCTCTGCATCTGCGTTTGTGCTGTTATACATCTTTCACGCCTAGTTCATGCAGGTTGACGCCGCAGGAATAGCATCTAACAGTTAGTTCCAATAAATTTTCAGAAACGGGATTGGTTGCACCCGTGTGTTCCGAAGTTTGGCTTGTGCTGCCCTTTCGGAGTCCAGCACATTCAAGGCTTCTTTTAGGTTGCTTTTCCATGGTTCGTCTTATTTAGCGCTAGAGGCGCAACGGTATGACTCCGCTGGTGGAGTGCATGTAACTTTTCCAACTTTAGTTCACAGACAGAGCGTCAAATAAGATCAACGAATGACTAATGGTCAATTTAAATGGATGAGTGTTTAGATGGCCAACTTAACTCAGTACATGAAGCAAAGGAAAATGGTGAAATATACGCGCTATTGCGAGCTTACCTCTTCCACATCACTTATGGTGATACTGCAACTGTGTTCAGTGTTTAATTTTCTTGCTAAAATTCAAAAGCATTGAGAAATTAATAGTTTGACTAGAGACATTTTTTTCCGTCGCTAAGAGGCTGATTTCCAATGAAGAAAACTTACATTCAGAGTTCTTTTTCTCCGGGGTGTGCTGGACCTTTCTCTTGGAGCTTTTTTTATTAGAGTCAGGGTTAGTGAGGTTGGATGAGGTTGGATGGACCTTGGAAAATTTTGTGTGCATTTGGCATGAAGCGTGGTTGCCTTAATGTTTGTCCCTTCTCAATTACTTCTCCCTCAATAATGATATCATCATCAAGTCTTTTAATATCTCCTTCTTAAAAATGTTCAGAGTAAACAAGGTCTTGTGTCGTAATTTTCCTGTCCTGCCTGGCCCGATTCCATACTTAAACCTGGGACTGTCAAAATATGTGTTAAATAGGAGCAATGTTAAAGTGTATCTTCCGTCGCTCTTGCAGATTTTGAGTAGACTGAATGCTGTGCTTTCTTTCCTCCTTGGCCCCAGCTGGTTAGTATAGCCATTTCTGCAGGTACCCAGCAGGCCCACATGAGCTGCTGACCGTTACTCCAGTGGTCCCTGCTCACGGTGAGACTCGGTCCTGGATCTTCCAGGACCGTCCTGGTTTCTCTTATGCTAAACACACAGGAAACCCAGGACGGTCCTGGAAGATCCAGAACCGAGTCTTGAGCACGAACCGCACTGCAGCTATGTCGCGGCTGCAGTTTTCGACAAAACAATTTCAATGCTTTCTGATTTTTTTATGAATTCCAGACCTGTAAAATCTCTGATAAATTGAATCAAAGGCCTCAAGGCCCAACATTGCGGTTCCCAACCTTTTTCGCACACGTAATGTTTTTGTGCAAACTTTGTACGAGACATCACAGTTTTTTGTGCACACGAACTTTTCGTACAAATTTGTACGAAATTTTGCACCTAAAGGGGAAATTTGTGCAGTTTTTCCGTAGAAAAATGGTACGAAAAGTTCGTGTGCACTAAAAGCTGTGATGTCTCGTACCAAATTGTAATGTCATTGTTTACGGGACTTCAAGGTTTTAGGGTTTTACGGGCCAGTGGCATTTACATCCCAGTTCGACAGAGGCAACTCTAGAAGCAAACTTCAGTGTGCTGCTCGCGACCCAAAAATGGCTGCCAAAAAATTTTGCGACCCCATGCCCCCAAAAGTTTGTTAGTTCGCAATGTTTCTGACGTGTTTTGTAGTGGTTACGGATGACAAGCTGGGTGCACAAAGTAAAACACGAAATTCTAGGTCGTGCCGTTAGCAGAGACATACCACACACCAGACAACCTTTCTACTCCCTTCCTACTGGTATATATACTGAATACTTTACATAAACTGAATGTAGTGGTTTCCGCAGAATGTGCACAACATCAGACCGCTTGACTTGCTGCTGGCCTGGCGCTTCTGGCTTAACATATTGGTCCTTCTTTTTGCCGTACTTGATCATGATGCTGGCTGACAAGCAGGGCCCTGGTTACCTTTTCAACAATTCCTTAAAATGAAGTGGAATTAGTGGTACTGTAGACACAGTTTTCGAACATCAACTTGTAGCATAATGATAATGAAATCAAATATATATAAAAAAATATAATATCCCTTGCAAAAAGGAAAATATATGGAAAATATGTGTCAATATATGACTCCATATATGTTTCATGCATTGTCAATGTAATTGTATCTTGCTCAATATATTGCAAATTATCTTGCGCCATACGTGGTTTATATATGGGGGTATATCTTGGTGCCCGTTAATATATGATGCATATATTTCCCCATATAATATTATCTTCCCGAAATGTATGTTTCAATATCTGACACGTTGCCCGTCGTGGGATGGTGCAGGGTGAGAAGGGCAGACTTTTCAAGTAACTTTTCTTAAAATCTTGGCACTTGATGTTGAAAGGCGGCTATATTTCTCAACATGATTTTATGTTGTAAAATATATTGACGCCATATATTGAGCAGGGGCAAGGTTCTTTTCTATGCGTTTAAGTCTCCAAGAAATTTTGAGAAATCCTTTTGAACAAGTTATCGGGAACAGTTTGGAAATTTTAAACGTCGTTTTTGGGTGTAGCCCGAAAAGTTCTTCTAGGTGAATACGGTAGGATCTCTATTGGATGTCCTCGCAAGGCGAAGTTTCCATTCTTTGCTAATAGTAAAGGAAGTCTCTGAGTCGTCAGACTCCGTGGTGTACTGACATTATATATTGCATACAATGTATGAATGTATGAAAGCAATGTATGAATTTTATTGCCACATATTTTCTATATCGGAAAAGTATCTTGCTAAATTATCTTTTCCACATATGTCGTCAATACATGTTGGGCCAAGGGATGAGCCCGCCGCAATCTGCACTGGCATCGGCGTGGTCACTGCCGTGCGCGCAGCGCCCGACGGGCTAGGACTCCGTCCACCCGAAGGGAGTGATAGAGGAGGAGGAGAAGAAAGGGGCGTAAGTTACGGCACTCGCTCCCTTGCTTCGCAGGAGTAGGGCGACGACTGGGGTTACCTTTAGTGCGGCGGTGCTCGGCTACATGCACGTCAGGCTTGTCATACTCTACAAATCGAAGAGTGTACATGGTATGCTCTAACTGGAGCATGCCTGCAAGCACGCTCTAACTAGCGCATGCCTGCCAATGCATCCCTTACTACCCATACATGCCATGTACACGCTTCTGATGCAGACAACTCCCTATCCCTTATGCACTAGATGCATGCTTCAGTTAGCGTGTACATGGCATGTATGCACTAGTTAGTGCATGCCTGGCAGGCATGCGCTAGCTAGAGCGTGCTTGCAGGCATGCTCCAGTTAGAGCATACCATGTACACTCTTCGATTTGTAGAGTAAACAAGCAAGTCGTAATCAGGACTACACCTTTGAATGAGGACATTTCGTCACCACATGTTGGCGACGATTTTTGTATCGCCTAAATTCGCGTGCAGGTTTCTTCGCTAAAACATCTAGGTATAGGTAGCAGAGACGCATTTTATCGCCAAAATGAAAATAAGGAAACCTGCGATAACCGAAGTTCGATGATTAAATAATCTTCACCCAGATTTTGGTGATTGAGTGGGAATACCTCGCCCAGAATTTGGTTCTCATCAAAACTATCATTCACACTGTTCTTCCGGAGGCTTCTCACAACCCCCTTTTCGGTCGTTACGACCTCCGCCTGTTGCCTTCTGGAGTTCGTGGGCACATGAGGGAATTTTTTGTGAAAACTTTTGGTACTAACTTTGGAAAACTCAAATTGGCAAGATTGGATTGGAAAATATAGGATTGGGAGTTTTATTTTGGGGAGGATTGCTTTGGAAAAATGTATTTTGAAAAGTCAATATTTGGGAATTTATTTTTGGGAAAAACGGGCGGGAACGGTCACGGCACTGCCGCTCTAAAGACCCTGGCCCAATTTTTTGACGCTGCTCTTAAAGCTGGCTGGCACGTCGGAGTGTCCGTTGACGCAGCCAGCGAACTCGTTGAAGAATGCGCGGGCCGTGCTGTCCTTGTCTGCGGCGTGCAGGGCGGCGCTCTTGAGGCAGCCGTCCACGAGCTTCTGCGCCTTGGGGGGGAGGGCCTTGAAGTCCTTCAGCTCGGCCTTGACGTTCGACACAACCTCGACGTAGAGCGCCTTGCCCAGAGCGGCGTTTAACTTGTCGTCGGAGGCCTGGAAACAAGCCAATGTTCCGAGTTCACGGACATGGAGAAAAAGTTTTTGTTGTGTCAACGAAAATGTATGTCGATTTTCGCATAGCCTAAAAAAAGTTGATACATGTATTGGTGCTTTGTTGTCCGAACGAGCACTTTGCTCTCACGTCAAATAATTCGTGAGGAGTACAAATATTCGACAGTTTTCATTTTTTATGATATCTAGTACTGAGAATATCGTTCGTACACAACAACTTTTACTTCGATATTCCAATTTTTTTTAGATATTCTAATTTCTTTATAGATATTCTAAATTTTTTAGATATTCCATATTTTTTAGATATCCCTAAAGCAAAACTTGTTACCTCAGAGAGCCCCACCAAGGCCATGGCCGAGGCCACGAGGACGATCGCAAAACTGACGCGGGCCATGCTGCCGGCTGGGGTTACAGTGAGTGCGGTCGTCGCAGTATCGCGTTTTATAGGAAACGCCACTGCGCGAAGCGAAAAACGGCCAAAGGTGTAGTCTTTTGGCATATCGCTCGTCACGTTTTCTCCTACGACAGTAGTTGCACCGAATCAAGTATCCTGAGAATCGGAGGCACTACACCGACCGTTCGGACATTCGTGCAGCCCGTGGCTACACTGCAAACCTGTCTACTAAGCACACACTTCCAAATGCATGCTAGCAAGTGCACACTTACAAACGCATGCTTGACGCCGTATAACTCCACTGTGGCAAAAAGGTACGGAAAATTCTGTTAATTTTTTTGCCAGAATTCTCCGCAGCCCTCTTATCAATATTCTCCGTAGGCTCTTACAGTATTCTCCGTAGGGCCGCACAGTATTCTCTGTAAGTCCGCACAGTCTTCTCCGTAGGACATGGAAGACTGTATAGTCCTACGGAGATCACTGTAAGGTCCTACGGAGAATACTGTGCGGTCCTACAGAAAATACTGTAAGAGCCTACGGAGAATATTGATAAGGGGGCTACGGAGAATTACCACAAGCTGTTTACAGAATATTCCGTAGCTTTTTGCCACAGTGTCCATGCGTCAAGCATGCGTTAGTAAGTGTGTACTTGCAAGCATGCATTTGTAAGTGTGTACTTGGCCAAGCATGCGTTTGTAAGTGTGTACTTGCAAGCATGCATTTGTAAGTGTGTACTTGGCCAAGCATGCATTTGTAAGTGTGTACTTAGTAGACAGTTAGGTTTGTAGTATACGGCTCCGCACAGTAACAAGCCAGGGCCCGCCCTTCCGTCGAACCGAGTTGCCATTTACGCTGCGCCGGCAACTCGGTTCGACAGGGGGCAGGCCCAGGCCCAGCTTGGGCTGCCGGTGGCGTCCCCTCGGGCCTTCGCCCCTCGCATCCGACACCTTATGACGCTAATTTATCGATTGAGCATCGTGACTGAGGCCCACCCTTCTATTCAAAATACGGACAAGTCTCTTCTGTTTACTCTAACCATCCAAAAACTTGATTCCGAAAATACCCGTATTTGTCTTTGTCACGGAGGCCTCGGAGAAGCGCGAAACGAGTCCGTGACATCGATTTCGACAACTCATACGGACTCCTCGACCCCCTAGCCATAATATTCCATGAACATGAGGACTGCCTCTGCAAATGAAACAACCCTTTCCTGATCGGGAAACTGCCGAAGTGGGGCCCGTAGACCCCCCTTCCGACCACTCGATGGAAAGGTCTTGGCGAGACCTATCGGAAACTGCAATAAAATTTTACAGTAGGTCGACCCTCTTCGAAGATCCAAGGCATTCCTACAGTGCCTTCCAAATTTGGGAACTCTGGCTCCACTCCCTCCTTGTATACAGACGACAACACACAGAACAAAAGGCAAATGCATAGGCCCTCCCCCATTTTTTTTAAATTAGAAAGACGGGCCAAAAACAGATTCACAGTTTTGGTGGTCGTTCTATCTCCAATCCCACCAAAACGGGCACCCATTGAAACCGGACGACAGCCCGTCACCAAAATGGTGTTCCGCCAGAGGTTGGGATGGACACAACTACTCAGAGTTGTCTTTGCATGTATATGCGTACACTGAAGACTCCTTACGGACACCATGTATCCGCAATACGGACATTTTTGTGCAATTGCAATTACGGATGGATTTTGTTTGTAATACGGATGATTTCATCCGTAATACAAAGGTTTTCGTGTCCGTAACATACAGACGAAAATATCCGTAAGGTACGGACGAAAAACTCTTTGTAATACGGAGGATTTCATCCGTATTACAAGCAAAATCTATACGTAATTGCAATTGCACAAAAATGTCCGTAATACAGATAGATGAATCCGTAAGAAGTTTAGTGTGTACCCGCGGGCGACCGTTACGCTTTGATCAGGCACGATGATTCCTGACAGCCCCTGGCTTGCTTTTTCTCCTATTTCACATTATTACGACGATTTAAAGTCGCTTGCGGGGGGTGGATGCATTGCTGTTTCGGTGAAGTAATGTGCGCAGCTCGGTTGGTGTGCCGCTGTAAACTTGGACTAATGAGGTTGAGGACTGATCACTCCACCCGTCCAGCAGCGCTCAGCGCGGGACCGCGGTGGCCCCCAGTACTCGGCCCAGCATGGCGGCCGAGCGACTTTGCGGGTTGACTACGCCTACGGGTTAGATTGGAAAGGGGGGATGGGTGAATCACACATACAAAGCCCTTACGCCGTCCATCATTTCAGAGCCCTTTATTGTCTCCGAAAGCACTTCTACTTCTTGAATGTGACTAGTCTTATCGATGTCATGAACCTGAACATGAAACATACCCTGTTTCGGTGGTTCTTAATGTTTGCGCATATGTTAGGGCGGCATCCATGTCACCACACCGCAGGCATAAAAATAGAGGTTTCCACTTCAGGTCGAGTTTTCTCTCTGAGTGGGAGCCCACATATTTTAAGATCATTTGGAGGGTCCCCTCACCTGCTGACCTGCTCTCAATGGCCTTCCTGAAGCTAAAATTAATTGAACAGACGCACCATCCCCGTTCAGTTCTGTCCTCGGCGTCCTCGTCACATGACCTTCTTCGTCGCCATGCTGAAACAACAAAGAAGGGTACAGGCACTATTTGCAGCGGTTTCCGGTGCCCAGAGACTACTTCCGGCTACCCCATACCACTTTCGGTATTACCGATGAATCCGCTGACCTCCAAAACATGGATTTCAACCCCCTAATGTGGGCTAAAGTCCCTCCGAAACCATAGTCTGTCGTTGGTCGGCCATATTTCCAAAATGACGGCTTTTGACCCACTTCCGGTGGTCCGATCGCGTCTCCGGGGACAGATTCGGATTCCTCGTTTTTAAATTGTGCGGAATCGATACACAGCTCACCTCAGCAGTCTCACATCTTCAGAATCATATCTGGCGACCCATCACGCCGTCCCTTTCTTTCGGCGTCGTCCCAGTCTGTCATGATGCTCTTTGCGTCCAGACCCAACGCACGGAGAAATCTGATAATTGCCTCGTAAGCTGGGCCAGTCTTGGACGACATGACGGCGAAGCACAATGGGAGTACCTGCAATTGTCTCACATTAATAAATAGGCCATATCAGGGCTGATAGACAATGGTCGAAGTTGGTGGTGTGCGAATACTTTATAACAATCGAAGTGAATCAGGTCCCATTCGATTCGAAAACAAAAAAGTAAAATCTCCAATTTGAATTATTTTGGGCCAAAGCAGCAAGTGCTAAATTCTCACCGTACTGTGGTGAGAATCAAATAGCTCAATTCAAGTACACACAAATTCATACACACTTGGCCAAGTATGCATTTGTAAGTGTGTACCAAGTCGACAGTTAGGTTTGTGGTATTGTTGAAAGAACTTACTTGACCACATCTGGCGAGAGCCACAATATTGCTGCTCAGCACCAAGTGTTTCTGGTGAGGAGTAGTGGCATCGCTCATGAGCCAGTCATCCCTCTTGGTGTAGCTCATGATTCTCCTTGAAAGGTAAACCAGGCTCTCCTCGCCGGGCCCTCCAATATGACGTTCGAAGTATGTTTCCTTTTCATCCAATGTGTTTGCTGAAATCAGAACAGTTCGCTTTATTACAAGGTACCACCATGCGCAAAACAAAAAGAATACGATTTCACGAAATCCTCGTAGTCACGACGTTAATGTCATTAGAGTTCTGGTTGAACAAAATTTTTTGAGGCTAGAACTGCGATGTCGATTTCATGTTAAGTACAGTACCACTTTCAAGTGTGGTCAAATCACCAAATTTTTAAGACGTTAAAAATGGCTATGACTGAGTTTCAACTGTCCCAAATTATCACCCTGGGCACTTTTCGTGTTTAAATGTGTCCTGACGGGTAGAAATTATTTTGAGAATAAGAGTGAAATGACGAAGACCGAAGCACAGTGGGCTAAAACACTCTTTTAGGCGCTCAAAACCTCTTTCTTGAAAATCGTTTAAACGGGCAAACTTTTTCTCCATCGGATAGGAAATTTTCCGCAGATTTCAAATCTGGTCGTATTTTTGTTGTCAGACCAAAACTACGACCACTACAGGCCGTCAAAGTTAAAAATGTCATAATGTGTTATTTTTAGTTAAAAAAAAAAAATGCAACAAAACGCCACAGCGATTTTGACGGCTTTGCATCTAGATTTTGAACCTCCGGTGGTTCCATTTTAAAGAACAAGTATTCCCGTTCAAAATGATACCCGAGTTATCTTCCTGCGATAATTTGAAGGGTGTTGGTGTGCATATAATCGCTTTATTTGAATAATTTTTACTTTAAAAACAAAAGTTTGAGATCTACTATAGAATCAAGCACTATCAAGCAGGTTTCAGCGCTGGAAATTATCAACCTATGTGTCAATTGAAAGGATCAACAGAGAAAACCTGCGCATATTTGCGCAAACAGTAATACACGGCTGTGAAACATTATAAAATTGGCAATTTCCCCGTTTTTGGTAGAAAATGCGTCCCAACGAAGAAAGAATCCAAGCAACCGTGTCTCCATCCCAACCGTCCCTTATCTTTTCACGTGCTATTTGGCTCCTTTTCCCAGCCCCCCCGCCCCTTCTGTACAACTAACCCTCAAGAAATGGCCACCCGGGAGTGCAACAGAATTGATGGGAATGCAGATCTTCTGACTGCAATGTTGTTCCATCTCATCCTGTGATCAGCTCTTTCAGGAAAAAGAAACCTAAAGCCAAGTCTTAAAAAATGTGTGCCACAGTTCTTTCACTTTTAGTTGACCCCTTTGATGACCAGGCTAATGAGCCTGCCATGTCATTGTTCCATGTGTTCTGACATTTCATTATATTTATGGCCGCTATGAAATTTAATGGCGTTAATGAATTTTCAATGCATATTTGTAATGAAAATTCATAATATTTTTAACAGTGAGCCGGTGGATCCTCTACCCTGGGCGGTAGGCAATCCTGCCCGTTCGGCGGGGGCGCCATGTTCGCAGCCCAGCTGAGGGGAGTGATCAGTCCTCAACCTCCTAAGTCCAAGCTGTAAGGGAGGTATAGGTGCGTCCGAGGGGTCGAACCGCAAGTCGATAGGCATTTGTCGAAAAATGAGAGATTAAACAGAAAAAGGTCTGAAGGTCGTGCGACCTTCCAAACATATCGTAATATGCGTATGCGTATCTTTTATCGAATCAGAGTTGGGCTGGTGTTTTAAAAGCAATAACGATAAGGAAATATTCTGGGTTTTGTTTACTCGTTTTCAATTTATTAAAACGTATACATGTGATTTGATAAATGAGATGTGAGTGTACAGTGTAAGACATTTTTTTTTACTTTTTTTGTCATCGTAAAACATTGCTTGAAAAGAAGATTTTGTTTTTCGATTCTACTCAGACACAAACCGGCCAAAAATTTAAAACAATAATGCTTGATTGTCACGCACATACATTCATGTTGACAGGAGAGCCACTGTGGAATTATCAAAGTCTTTTGTCAGTCTTGTTGAGATAATAAATGGATAACCTATTATCTAAATAAAAACTCAAGATTACGCCAAAAATACTATTTATTGCTTACAACAAACACGCCACCACTCACAACTATAAATGCTGTGACTAGAACCTAATTAAACACGAAACTAAACTAACAACCCTACCTAATTTCTAGGTGACCACGGATGGAGTGTTTCAGATTCACCTCTCCACGTCGAGACACTTGTCTGCGTCGAATAGATGCACCGCACCGTCACCTCTTCACACTCATACAAATGCACCCGCTTCACTTGCACTCTTAAAAGCCTACGAAGCATTTGCTTCATAACTACAACGAAAATGAAGGCATTCTAGAATTGCTTCGTATTATGAAGAAATGCTTTGTATTACGAAGGATTTTGCCTCATAATACGAAGAATTTCTTCGTAGATTGTACAATGTCTTCATTTTCTTCGTATTGCAAAGCGACTCTTCGTAGAGTTTTTACTGTGTGGAGTACACCGTTATTATCTAGTTACTCCTCTCTTAGCACCACCACACACGCACCTCTCTCCCTCCCTCCCTCTTCTCGCTCCCACTCCCCCCTCTCTCGCCCCGGCCTCCGCTCCCCGTCGCCACTTCCGCGACTCTCGCGCCTCCGAGGCCGTGTGCCCTTCCCCTTCCCTCTACTCCCAGGCTGGGCTTCTGTACCTAGTCCGGTTCGCGCGGGGCCCTTCCCCGTCCATCTCACCCTCACGCTCTGGCCCCGCGTTTCCTGAATCTAGCTCAGGCCTCAGGCCTACCCCGCACAACAATCTTCTTACTGGTGCGACTTCCTCTAAAACTACATCCTCAGAGGGATCAGAAAAGTTGAGGAAATAGTTCAACTGGGATGCGTCAATTTCGACTGCTGCCCTATACGCGTTATGATTGCTTGTTTGGTTGGCAAGAACTTCTGCGATGTAGTGGTCAATGGCAGCATCCAGGACGGTGTCGCTATCGGCGCTTTGTGTCGCGTTCAAAGCTAGCGCCCCCTCCGCACTTCCAGGCTCTGTCTCCACGGCCGTCTTGTACTTTTTCTTCAAAGTCTTGCTTATTGCCACGTCTGCGCACGCGCGGAATTCTTCTTGTGCACCGCAGCCCGTGGCAGTGGAGCCGTCCTTGCAGATGCCTGGGTTGTTTCCCGTGCGATAGCGCCACTGCAGGACGCAGTGCTTACAGGTTAGGCCAGCTGGGAGACGGTAGCGCATTTCGAAGATTTTTGCCTCCAGGCTCGGGTAGAAACGCGTCGGGTGTGCTTTTAATCCACCTTGATCCGCTCGCTGCAGAACGTGTCTGTGAAGACATTGCTGCAACGACAAAACATTCTGCTTGAAATTTGAATACTGACGCCATTTGATGCTGCATCACGCTTGATAGTCTTGCCAAACCAACGAACTCTTGGAAACTCATCTCCGCGATTTGGATGAAGTTTTTTTTACAATGGTTGGGGTTGTCATGAAAAGATCCCATGTCAAAGGGTTTTGCGATTCTCGCCCCGTTTGGCTATGGTAACATAGCGAAGCTTTCACTTTGGTAAGGATCATATTATTTTCCTTCAAGACGATTTGATTAGTTTCGAGACGATTGCATAAAGTTTTGATGTAGCTTTCTCCTTTTAAGGTGTTTTGTTTTCTCCGAAAAAATGCTGTTTTGAAACTATATCCACTGTGTTTCACAGCTCTTAAAGACAGGGCAGCATCAACGTCCCCACACCGCAGACACAAAAACAGGGGCTTCCACTTAACATCTTTACCGTCAGAGTGGTAGTCCACGTACTTTACCACCATTTCCAGCGTCCCCTCACCTGCTGCCTTTCTCATAATAGCCATCCTGAAGCTAAAATTAATATTGAATTACATTAAAGTCTTAAAGTTTCAAGCAGATAAAGCCTCAATCAAAAACTATTACCTTTCTTGAAGGTACTTTAATGCCTGTTCAACCAGTTCGGCTGGAGTTTGAGAAGCAGACATAAGTTGAACAACTGTCCAAAAATTTACGTAAAGAACCACTGTCGGAAAAAATCTTAAATTTTCAGTGAGTACGGAGAAAAGTACAGAAAACAATATGATTCTGACGAAAGTGAAAACTTTGCTATGTTTTTGTAGCCGAACGGGGTGAGAAATCGCAAAACCCTTTGACATGGGATCTTTTCATAACGACCCGTTCCCCTAAAACAACAAGCTAGGGCCCACCCTTCCGTCGAATCGAGTTGCCAGCTTCGCTGCGCCGGCAACTCGGTTCGACAGGGGGCCGGCCCAGCTTGGCCTGCCGGCGGCCTTTTCTCGGGCCTTCGGCCCTCGCATCAGACCCAACTTGGCCAGTCGAAGGCCCGGGCCTTCGGCCCGCTCGCATCACACACACCGTGAGCGGGTAAAGCAAAGTTATCGATGTACCATCGTGACTAAGGCCCGCCCTTTTATTCACAATATGCAATAGTCCTTACACTTTTTACTCCAACTGTCCTTAGAATATGCCCATTTCTTTTGTCTCTTCGCCCTCATTCCGAAAATACCCATATTTGCAATGCTACTGCAACTCCTTGCAATAGAGGCACAGCAGGAGCGCAAAACGAGTCCGTCGCACTTTTTCCCATAACTCATGAAGGCGGGCTCCTGGACCCCCCTTCCGACCCCTCGTTGAAGAGGTCTTGCCAAGACCTATCCAAAACTTAAGTAAAAATTTTCAGTCGGTCGACCCCCTTTTTTCAAGATCCTGATGTGACTAATAGACGAAGTCGGGCTCCTGGACCCCCTTTCCGACCCCTCGTTGAAAAGGTCTTGCTGAGACCAATCGAAATCTGCAATAAATTTTTTTTAGTCGGTCGACCCCCTTTTTTGAAGATCCTGATCTGGCCAACTTGTAAAAGCGGCCGATGGGGTCGGGACCAGGTCCATTCATCTTGTCTCGTCGCCCCGATTCCAAAAATACCCCTATGTGCCCTGCTAGCACCAATAATGGCGGAAATCCCCCTCCCGCTCATGTAAACCGTGATGCACCTGCAGCAGCCCTTTTGCGACCCGGACGGGATTTGCACCACCGGATTATTTGTTTGGACGGTACTCCTGAAGTACCCTCCAAATCTGGTCCCCCTATTTTTTGAATAGAAGGGCGGGCCAAAAAGGTTCATCCAAATTTCCAAGAGTTAGTTGGTTTGACAGGGAATCGCCCGTAGGTAATGAGGCCTAAGCGGCAAAGTTCCTGCCGCTAGGTGTCACCACTGAGCTAGTCCACTATAAGAAATTCACGGTGCCGGGTGACGGCTTGGTTGGGTGGCGTGAACGTTTCGAATTAGGATGACGCATATAATTCAATATGGGCCAAGAAGACAAATGGGAAAGTTAACTGTGAAATAGCTTTAAGTAAACGAATTCGCTGAAAACAAGTACTCTGCCCGAGCGATTTTTTATAGGAGCCTAGCTCGGTGGTGCCCCTTAGCGGATTAGTTTTTCACTCTCAGGCCTCATTGAAATGGTTATCGCATGAGCTATAACCAGCCATGCACTGCAAATCTAAGTGTTGGACAAGACTTCACTTGTAGGCGTAGAACAGTCTGTCTTACGCTTGCAAGTGCCGACAAGTTGTGTCCGACGCTTTGAAGTGTCGACCTCATAGTGTCCGAAACTTGCAGGTGTCGGTCGACCACAGCATGTCCGACGCTTGGAAGTGTCGGGCTGCACTACATGTTCTTTGCCGAAGAACAAATACTGCCCTGCACACGCAGGTGTCGGACACTGTGTGGTCGACACTTCAAAGCGAAGGACAAACTGGTCTACGCCTACGAGTGCCGACTCGCCCTCTTACACATGGATTTGCAGTGTGAACCAAGGGCAACTATAAGATAAACGTTTCATCCAAATCCATTTTTGGGGATTTAGCAGAAATGATAAAAACATGTTTTTCCACAAATGTTTTTTGTACTTCGTACTTATCACAATAAACGACCGATAAAGGGATGCAACACTAGCAATATGTGCACGGGGATTTGCATTTTCAGTGTTATGGATAAGTTTTGCAGTTCTTACCTGAGTCACTTCCTGTCTGGAGTTGGATGGACAAACCCGAAACTCGAAGTAACCCCAATGGGGAGCTGTGAGGTCTACTTTAATGGTTATTTCGGACCCTGCCAAGTATCTTCGCACCCGCTTGCCTGTGTAAAACTTGCCACCAAATTCGTGCTCCTGTAAAAGCAAAAGCAAAATTTCATTATTTCTCTCGACTTGTGACAGTTTAAAACGTGTGGAACGCAGTACTTACCCTGGGCCCTTCAAAGGGGTCCCCACAAATGCCGCACTTGCCCTTGTGAACTTCCCACTGGTGACCCCGTCCACCACACCAGCCTTGCATATCATTATAATCTGGAGGAGATTTGAAGCCGAATCTAAAGAGGGTCAGAAAGAAATGCTCCATTAGTTGTTTTTTAGACACGAAGTAGCCTTATGTAGTATCCCCCAGGATTCAGCCTCGCTGGGATTTGATCGCGTGCAAGTCGAAACCTCTCTATAGGATTTTGATGAGATTTTGCAGACTGGTAGAATTCTGAGACGTGATTTTAATTCTGGAATATGGTTGAAATCTATACGATAAATTTTGAGAAAATTGCCGTCAAAATCACTGTCTACATAGCAAAGCTCGACTCGTCAACGAAAAAGGAAGAGAGAGGGGGGAGCCGAGCCAAACCCAACCAATAGCATAGCTCCTTTTCGCTTGTGTACAGGTTACCCCATAAACGGTCGCTTCTTTGAAAAAGGACCTAGGAATAAAAAAATACGATTTCAAGAAATCCTAGGAGTCACGAAGACAATTTGATTATTGTGTAAGAGTGTAGAGGAAGAAAAGAAGTGGTGTTGTGAAGTTGTGGCTACCAATAGCAGTGGTACCAGTGTGGTCGATGTGCTACCCGTCGAAATTTAAACTTGACAATAAATATAAATCAAAATGCTGGTAAATCCAAAAAATTCCAATGCTGTATTCCGCAGTGTTCTGACAATGTAACATCTTTAAAGTCCATCATTATTAAAATGTTCTTAGCAGAAAGAAGGCAGTAAATTAATTTTCACGGGTTGGCAACTAGTTTCTCGGCGTCTGCGCCCTTGCGAAAATCGCGAAGCTGAAAGCACCAGCAGTCGCGCATTAAAACTGCCCCTCCATTGTTGCTGACGTTGAATTGTTTGGCTTGTTTCAAAAGACTATGGTTCTCTAGTCGTGTTTTCTTCAATTCTGTGTAATAGTTCAAGTCTTGTTCAAGGAACATGAGCACTGCAAGTCGCGAGGTGGAGCGAAGTTGTTCTAGTGCTAACTGAATCACAACAACAAAATTGTCTTATTGACAGAAAAAAGTAATATTTGAGAAACCTAATGTCAGAAAAAAAGAACTTTTGTTTTGCTATTTTTCTGTGAATATTTTTTTAGAAAGTTATCACATAAAAATTGAAAATTTGATTTATATGAATTTTCATAAGCAGGAAACAAAGAAAAATCAAGAAAGAGTGCAAAATTAATACAGATTTCAAATGCTACAGTTGGTTAAACTGTCAAACAGGTTGCAAACCTACTGCGCATGTCCAAAAACACTCCGATCAAGAAGTATTATTGGATAGTTCTACCCGAAAAACTGCGCTCGAACCGACACCAATTCTATTGTTGCATCTTGTCTACCTGCAGTCAAAGAAATTTTTCATTTCGAACGTGCTGTTTCAGCTTTTGGAGTAAGCTGTACAGACCCAAAAAGAAGCTTGGCTATTGGTCCGCCCCGGCTCGGCTCCCCCCACTCCCTTTTTTTCCTTTGACGAGTCGAGTTTTGCCATGGAAACGGTGATTTTGACAGCTAATTTCTCAACATTGGCCACCAACTTTTTAACCAGATTTCAGCATGAGAATCAGCGTTCAAAGTTCTACAAGTCTGCAAAGTCTCATTAAAATCGTATAGAAAATTTCCGAAATGCATAAAGGGCCACACAAATTGAATCTCGGGCCGGCTGAATCCTGGGTATAATAAAAGGCTACTTCGTGCCTAAAACCTTTCTGCGACCGTGATAGAACAGATGTAACAATAGCACAAGAGGGTTTTTTGGACGCAGTCTTTTCATTGGCACTGCCTGATAAAAAATTTTGATGGGAATGTCTTTGCTCATGCGCGAAACATTACATGACATTATATCTGAATGTATTTTGAGGACACATGTTGAAGAAAAGATTTAAAACTATTGAAAGAATAGAACAATTTTTTCATTTATCAACATATTTTTGAATCAATTAAACAAAATTATTATTGTTTGATTTATTTTATAGGGAAGCTCTAGTTTTTGTTCTACTTGTTTACTTCCCATTCAGTAAGCACCATGACCACATCGCTCCACCTCGCGACTTTCAGTGCTCATGTTCCTCGAACAAGACTCACCCGCGATTCGAAACCATCCCTCCTGAGTTTATTAAGTTTGCCTAACCCACCGTCGTGGTGGTGTTACGTTGTGAGTGAGAACTATTACACAGAATTGAAGAAAACATGACTAGAGAACCGTAGCCTTTTGAAACAAGCCAAACAATTCAACGTCAGCAACAATGGAGGGGCAGTTATAATGCGCGACTACTCGTGTTTTCGGCTTCGCTATTTTCGCAAGGGCGCAGACGCCGAGAAGATTGTTGCCAACCCGCGAAAATTAATTTACTGCCTCCTTTATCCCCCACGAACATTTTAATAATGATTGACTTCAAAGATGTTCCACTGTGGAATAAATTAGCATTCGAATTTTACGGTATTTTGATTTCTTTTTGTTGCCAAGTTTAAATTTTGACGGGTGGCACATCGCACTCATAAAAGCCTACGAAGCATTTGCTTCATAACTGCAAAGAAAATGAAGGCATTGTGGAATTGCTTCGTATTACGAAGGATTTTGCTTCATAATACGAAGCATTTCTTCGTAGATTTTACAATGCCTTTATTTTCTTCGTGTTAAGAAGCGACTCTTCGCAGACTTTTAACTGTGCGACCACATTGGTACCACTGCCATTCGTGGTGAGGCGACTCAAGGCGGTACAAAACCGAAGGCAAGCGCCTAAAGGCGGTAAGTTTCAGAGCACCCCTGAATAAGAGTGCAGGTGAGGCGACCTACACTGGTAGTCTGGTAGCCAACGAATGTGACGCCATATTCGTTGGAGTGTGAATTTTGTCACGTTCGTTTGAACGTGACTCGGCCGTTAAAGTAGGGTGTCACATGCGTTTGAATGTGTATCAACATTCAAACGAATGTGACAAATTTCACATTCGAACGAATATGACGTCACATCGTTGGTTACCAATGTAGGCGCGGATTGTAAGTAACTGGCGCAGCATCGCGAAGCTTGCCACGATAAGACTCGGTCTGTCGGGCACCTGCATTGTTCTCATTAACAGTCATCAAACGAACAACACCGCAAACTCATGTGTTCCAAGTGGCGATTATGTGCGATGCATACCTCCAGGCGGACGCTCTACTGGGCGGGTCGATGAGTCTGCCATGGCCAGCGGCGGGCCTCACAACACTGCCGAGCGCCAGCAACACCAAGACGAGCAGAGGCACCATGGCAAACAGCTTTCTACAGCGGCTGCCGACGATCTGCTGTGACGACGCCGGTATCGGCGTATTTATTTCCAAGCCCACTCCGCCGAACGCACGTCCTATCAGCTGCCCATCCTCGCCGCTGCCAACGGCCGCCACGCAGCAAGGGCTGCTAGAAATGTCCCCTCTACAACTGCAACACGCTTAAAGCCTTACGGAGTGTTTTGAGCATACATTAGAAACTGATTTGTTATACGAAGAAATAGTTCGTAAATTACACAGAGTGAGGCATTTTTTTTAAGAAGTCCGATCGTGGAACACGACCGATGCCGATTTCCTCCATTTTTTGGTAAAAGGTAGTCCTTGTGGGTCTAAGAAAGGCCACAAATTTTTTGAGCCGAAATATGCACCGTTTAGATTCTATGAGCAATTTTCGTTTTCTCTGACAACTTTTCACATAATATGGCCAAAATTGAAAAATCACCTTTCTGAGGCCTCTATGCACTCGATTGAGCTCAAAATATGGTATCGTATGTAAAATCACGCGAGGAACACAAATCCGGTGCCCGTTTGTTGATAGGACAACCCAAACAGATGTTATGACTGTTTTTCAGGTTTTGTAGTGGTTTTTACTTTTCTTGGGGTTTTGGTGTTCGGCATCGATTTTCGCCAATCCGATGAGTGGATTTTATAGATAAAGGACCAATCTATCATATTACGAGATAAAAAGTTTGTGTACGCCGCGTGAAAAGCAGTGGCGCTGCAAAAATTGAAAAACCGTCATTTCTGGGTAGTTTTAGATCAGATAAGCCACCTTTCGCGTGACCGTCTCGGCCTCATAGTCAGTCTAAATATTGTCCCAAGTGATGTCAGAGTTGGTGTGAAATTTCACCGCTGTAGCTCAAGAAGTTTGGAAATGGCAGCTTTCTAAAGTTTTGCAATCACGTAAGGCATTTACTTTAAGTAGAATTGCGGTAAATGTGAAGACTTGTCACAGATCGGGTAATAAATGAGATAGATGAGTGCGTCAAAGTTCTCTAAGCGTAATTTTGGACAAGGAATCCGATTTTGCCGGTACGGAGACCCTAGGCAAACTCTGAAGTCGGAAAAAAGACCATTTTTATGTGGTTTGCACGAAAACGTAGTTTTAGAGTACACCTAGGGTCTCCGTACCGGCAAAATCGGATTCCTTGTCCAAAATTACGCTTAGAGAACTTTGACGCACTCATCTATCTCATTTATTACCGGATCTGTGACAAGTCTTCACATTTACCGCAATTCTACTTAAAGTAAATGCCTTACGTGATTGCAAAACTTTAGAAAGCTGCCATTTCCAAACTACTTGAGCTACAGCGGTGAAATTTCACACCAACTCTGACATCACTTGGGACAATATTTAGACTGACTATGGGGCCGAGACGGTCACGCGAAAGGTGGCTTATCTGATCTAAAACTACCCAGAAATGACGGTTTCTCAATTTTTGCAGCGCCACTGCTTTTCACGCGGCGTACACAAACTTTTTATCTCGTAGTATGATAGATTGGTCCTTTATCTATAAAATCCACTCATCGGATTGGTGAAAATCGATGCCGAACACCAAAACCCCAAGAAAAGTAAAAACCACTACAAAACCTGAAAAACAGTCATAACATCTGTTGGAGTTGTCCTATCAACAAACGGGCACCGGATTCGTGTTCCTCGCGTGATTTTACATAAGATTCCACATTTTGAGCTCAATCGAGTGCATAGAGGCCTCAGAAAGGTGATTTTTCAATTTTGGCCATATTATGTGAAAAGTTGTCAGAGAAAACGAAAATTGCCCATAGAATCTGAACGGTGCATATTTCGGCCCAAAAAATTTGTGGCCTTTCTTAGACCCACAAGGACTACCTTTGACCAAAAAATGGAGGAAATCGGCATCGGTCGTGTTCCACGATCGGACTTCTTAAAAAAAATGCCTCTATGTTCTTTGTAATCTTATGTATGCTCAAAATACTTCGTTATAACAAGCTGTTTTCCTTTGTAAAGTTTTCTCAGTGTAGTTTATCAATCGAAGCTTTACAAAATACGCGCACATTTTAGGTTCGTTTGTAGTATTTCAATACTAGTGGGAAATGCAAATTGAAACGTCCTTGTAGAACACTTTTTTCACGGGTCGATACAAATTAAATTTTGCGTTGCCAATGTTGTGCTAGTGCAGAACGATAAACAAATGTTAATGAGCTACGAAAAGTGGCCGCGCCGCCGCCGGCGAAAATTTACGGCGCGCCGCCGCCGATGATCTTACCGATAACCCGACTTGAACTATCTCAAATATCCACATTTAATCTGCAGCGAGCGCCCAGGGATGGGCAATCCAACAGGCACGTTGTCCGCCGCGAACAACTGAACTTATTGTCGTGTTTAAACTGCTAAATTTTTGCGTTTGTGACGAAACTGTTCAGTCCGACTTGAAGAAATGGTCGCAGCTTTAAGTTGAAAAATAGCTCGAATTCAGGTCGACCACGCCGCCCGTGTCCCGCCGCCACCGCCGCGCTGGTTAAATTTCGGCCTTACGCCGCCAACTGTGTTTAAGATAAGATTCTCTTGGGGGGAACGCCTAGATAAGATCTTTTGAATAGGGTCCGTCGATGTGGCCTTGATAAAGTGGCAGCCGGGGACTCCCTGGTGACCCCGGTCGACCAAGGCCGGCCAGCGGCTGGGGGCACGGGGCTTGCTCCGCTCCCGCGGCGGTGTCGTCTTGTTATTGCCCGCCCCCGCCCCTCTTCAGGGAGATCTCGCGGGCTCCGGCTTATCGCGGCTTTGCCAAACTGGCGCCCGGGGATTCCCCTGCGACCCGCTGTGCCTGCAGCCTCAGGGTGGGCCAAAGGCCAGAGAAACCTGCACTAGCTCCACCCTCAGATTCTTATGATGAAAGGGCCGTCGTAACATACGTTGAAATGAGAACATACGTACTACAATAAAATTCATGCGTCATACGATGAAATTCAAGCGTAATACGATGAAATTCATACGTATTACGATGAAATTCATGCGTATGACGATGAACAATTAAGCATATTACGTATGTGCAAATTTATGCGTACCTTCCGATCAAAAACCATCGTAATACGTATAAAAACGATCATAAGATGTTGAGTGTGTCGACTCGTGCTCTGCAAACTCTGCACACTCAATCCGGCGTGTACTCACAAGTAACCTACTTTACTGCGAGTGTGCTCAGCAGAGTTTGCACACTCTAACGAAAGTGCAAGCAAAAGTGTGCTTAGCTGAGTATACACTTCAACGAGAGTCTGCTCAGATTGGTACACATACCTTAGTTTCCATGGAAATATATGCGGCTGAGTACACGTTCGTGGGAGTGTACTCGTGAGTACATGCTGAAGAGAGTGTGCTCGTGAGTAATAAAAAGAGTGTTCTCGTGAGTTTGCGGAGTGGTCAGACCTTTTATCGGTCCTCTGCTCCCAATGAAATTGATCTTCAGATAAAACCTTTGCGAGAGCCTTCACCCTGAAAACCTTACAAACTATTTTTCGCTTTGCAAACAATAACAACTTACTTTAACAAAGTAGTCTGAGGAAACAAAAGCTTGAAATTTAAATACTTCGTAATTAAGAAACTAAGTCTTCATATTGAAAACAGTTTTGCTAAATGCTGATGATGAATTTAGCTTCCTGTGCCAAGGGGTAGAACCACTGAGCTGAGTTCTTGCGGCCATTGCGCAACCCTTGGGGCAGATCCCATTTTGAAAGCTGAGGAACCAAAATTTATCATTAAGGACGTAGCACTTAATTCAAGTTACGCCTTAAAAATAATCAAATTAAACGCACCGATTTGAAGCCCTATCGATCCCAATTACGGCATGAAGCCACAAGAAGGTCATGCCCTGCTTCAGAGCGTGGCCAAGCGTGGCACGGCGTCACGCAGTGACGTGAAGTCGGCGCTGGGCTGTGCGACAATCAAAAACGTTGATCTTACGGACTGGGCGGGAGTCGAAAGGCAAGCTTGTGTGAGTTTCAACCTATCTGTGGATGCGGAAAGAGGTGGCCGAAATAGCCAGAGAGAAAAGTGTGCGTGCTGTGTTGCAGTCTCCAACGCACAATGGACATCATCGGCATCAAGGTAGGAGGGGACACAATGCCGAACTAATAATTCCGAACGTAGGAACAGGGCTTGTCGGCAGGTTGTAGGATATTTTGTCACATTCTTTTCCGCGTTTTTGACAAATTCATTTACAATTTAATCACAAATATATTATTGTAGCTGTATCAAATGATCAAACTGAGTGAAATTTGCCTGCGTTTAAGGTAAGGTTGTCTTGGGGGGAACTCGCAGATAAGATCTTTTGAATAGGACCCCTCGAACTGTCAGAGCAGATCCAAGACAATCCTAAGTGCCAGAGCTGATCCAAGACAATCCTAACTGTCAGTGCAGATTTAGAACTATCCTAACTGCGGAGGTACCCAACAGCGTTCATGAAGTATCTTCACCACTGCAAATCAGAGAATCGATATATCTGAAATACAATGAAATACATATATCTGAAATACAATACAATACAATGAAATACAATAAGGATGAAACTTTGTAACAAACCCTCCGGCGAGTAATTTTATGAAGTATGTTGGCGTCACGGACTTTGAGAAAACACCGCCTTTCACGTGATGTGCAGTTAGGATAGTTCTGAACTGACACGAAAAGTTAGGATTGTCTTGGTTCTGCTCTGGCAGTTAGGATTATTCCATAAGGGCGCGTCGACGCTATGGTCAGCCACACTTGGGTTTGGGGCGCAGTGAACAAGATTGACCTGCTTGCTTATCTAAACATACTCTAATGCACTTATTTTATGGAGTCATATATTTCAAATGTCTGGCAATTGGTAGTCTGCTTATTGCCGTTTCAGTAGAGGTTTAAAAAGCAGAAAAAAGTTGGTTTCCTGATTGTCATTGAGCATTCACGGAAGAACCAGCCTAGAAACTCACAGAAGAATGATAAGGATGTGTTGGCTTTGTGAACGTTTTCAGGTTCTTCAAACAGTTGCTATTTTCTGCACGCTGCTGAATGCAAGTAAGTTGAGCGTCCTTGACAGTGTTAGCAAAAAACCAACCCCTGGAACCCAGGAGTGTGCATGTGCTTCTAATTCGTTGTGTTAATAAACGGTTTCTGCGTTTGATTTTATTTCAGATCAAAAGGTTAGGAAGTGAATTTACTCAGCAACTCACTAACTTGAACAAGTTGAGTTGAGAAACCCAAAATAGGCCCAAATACTTGGAAAAAAATGCGGATTATTTTTCGACCGACAATTGAATTCTGTGCGGCCCTTCCATATCGAATTCTTTTGACCCCATTGGCCACCCCAGAAATCGGTACGACGAATAAAATAAAACGACCAAGTGACACTTAAGCTTACCCTTAGGTAATTGGAAACGCAACACGATTTATTTGAATTCATACTATAAAAGGTTGAAGTGAAGTTAAAACAACTCACTAAACTTTGAACAATTGATTGAAACCCCAATAATAGGCAAATCCTTAAAAAAAAAAGCGGATTATTTACGACCGACATTGAGATTCTGTGCGGCGCTCTTCCATATCGAAATTCTTTTGACCCCGTTGGCCACCCCAGAAATCGGTCGACGAATAAAATAATAACGACAAAGTGACACTTAAGCTTACCCGTTAGGTAATCGGAAACGCACACGATTTATTTAAAAAAGAAACACCGTTCAAGGTTATTGTAAAGCTTAAAAAAGTGACACTTTACCATTTTTTAACACTTGTATTAGATAGGTCAATTTATAGGCAAAAGTTCCTTACTCCTATTGCATTAACTCATACACCGATTGAAGGGCTTTTTTGGGGTCTACAGGGTCATTTTAGTTTCTGAAATAGGATAATTTTTAGTCGTTTTTCTCTAATTTTCCTCACGACGAAGGATTGCTACCCAGTCTTCAGACTCTGGCAATTACGGGCTGAGCAAAAGCGAAGCCTCGTTCTGAAATTTTCGCTTAAAAGTCCTCGTCTAGGGACCCACCGTGCCCACCAGATTTCGTCAGAATCCGAGAAGGTCGATGGGACGTCATGCCGTTGTTGAGTAACTCCACCCCAAGGCGGACCGAAATCTGGGATTGGGTCACGGATTCGGTTCAAACTTTGTGGGTTCAATAGGTACCACTAGGACCTATCAACCCTAAAAGGAAAGTTCGCTAGCTCAAATAGAACCTGAGATATTTGCATTTTTCTGAATTTGACTAATTTAGCGTAAAAATGTCGCTTTCTGATTTTTTCATGATAAAAGTTCTTTGCTTAGTTCTGGCTTACATTTCTTCTTTCTAGTCATAAAAAAGGAGAAAAATGGTGGTAGGCCAAGTTTTGTACGTTGCTTAGTTTGGCCTACTCGAGCAATTTTGTCGAATTCATCGAAACTCTCATACCCAAAATACTCCACCTTGGATTTGACCCTGGTACGTCTCATTCCACTTCTTTTACTCTAATAAACAATTGCTATATAGTCCCTAGCACCAACAATTCCATATAAGCCAGAAAAATCCAAAACACAATTTTTCAATTTTCTACTTTGACCTATTTTGGGCCTTTTTGTCAAGATTAGGGCTTCTACATGATCTTGGGTGACAGGAAAGATCCTCCCTGCCCTCAATTTAGATAGTATCAACACAAACAAAGAGACCCAAACTCAAGGTGCACTAAAAATTTATAAGGAAACTGTTTTGAGCAAATCTTTCAAGTTTACAAGGGGTGTGAAGAATTTAAATCGGAGGAAAATGTAATGCTTCAGCCAAAAGTGGATTTGTGGTTCATTAGTAAGCTTTCTCAAGTAAGTTTGGTGCCCTTTTAACCCTGAGAATGTTCCTCCTTGATAATCAGTGTTAAAACCCTGTTTTGGTATTGGGTTGTTGGACTTACGATTTCAACGCATTGACAAAGTAATGGTCCATTTATTTAGGTTGTTTGCAACGTGTAAGTTCAACCGCTTAGTCTCAATGACTGAGCCTGGTTTCATTTGGTTTGTAAATTTTTTAGACCAGCCAGATGACTTAAGACTAAGGGGTTCAGCTTACACGTTGCAAATAACCTAAATAAATGGATCATTACTTTGTTAATGCGTTGAAATCGTAAGTACAACAACCCTATACCAAAACAGGGTTTTAACACTGATTATCTAGGAGGAACAATCTCAGGGTTAAAAGAGCACCAAACCTACTTGAGAAAGCTTACTAATGAACCACAAATCCACTTTTGGCTGAAGCATTACATTTTCCTCCGATTTAAATTCTTCACACCCCTTGTAAACTTGAAAGATTTGCTCAAAACAGTTTCCTTATAAATTTTTAGTGCACCTTGAGTTTGGGTCTGTTTGTTTGTGTTGATACTATCTAAATTGAGGGCAGGGAGGATCTTTCCTGTCACCCAAGATCATGTAGAAGCCCTAATCTTGACAAAAGGGCCCAAAATAGGTCAAAGTAGAAAATTGAAAAAATGTGTTTTGGATTTTTCTGGCTTATATGGAATTGTTGGTGCTAGGGACTTTATAGCAATTGTTAATTAGAGTAAAAGAAGTGAAATGAGACGTACCAGGGTCAAATCCAAGGTGGAGTATTTTGGGTATGAGAGTTTCGATGAATTCGACAAAATTGCTCGAGTAGGCCAAACCAAGCAACGTACAAAACTTGGCCTACCACCATTTTTCTCCTTTTTTTATCACTAGAAAGAAGAAATGTAAGCCAGAACTAAGCGAACAACTTTTACCATGAAAAAAACAGAAAGCGACATTTTTACGCAAATTAGTCAAATTTAGAAAAATGCAAATATCTCAGGTTCTATTTGAGCTAGCCAACTTTCCTTTTAGGGTTGATAGGTCCTAGTGGTACCTATTGAACCCACAAAGTTTGAACCGAATCCGTGACCCAATCCCAGATTTCGGTCCGCCTTGGGGTGGAGTTACTCTGTTACCCAATTACACAATGCAGGGACATAATGAACTTCTAAATTGATTTTTTCCTTTACTTCAGGTTTGCCGCAGTGCGTTCATCATGACGGCGTTTGCACAGGGGAGCACGGTACAGTAGGCAACTGCTGCAACTTGGACAATCTGTATTGTCACAAGACTAATCCTTCGTGGAAAGAAGGACGATGCTACTATGGAAATGGTGAGCATTGCTCAATCTAAACTCTGTAGCTGTCGGACATAACAGCGTATGTGCTGTGGGATTCCCTATGAACATACGTTTTTATGTCAGATGAGATGACCACTCAAATGAGAAGTTGTGACAAAAAAGCAGAAATAAAATTCGACTTTTTACTGCCTACCTTTGTATCAAAGTGTTAGTAATCCTGAGTAAATTCTGATCTGGTGCAGAGAATACTGTTGACGCTTGATGTTCTTGGGGTGTTACAGGTCCGAATGACCTACGGTGCATCCCACACGATGGCGTGTGTACCGGAGAGCATGGCACCCAAGGCAATTGCTGCACGGGCCAAGGCTTGTACTGCCACAAGGGCGACCCGTCGTGGCCCCTGGGACGGTGCTATTTCGTCGCCCCAGGAGCAACTCTGCCGGGAGCCGGGCAAGGGGCAGCCGGCAGACCGCCCGCACAGGCACCACCTGCTGGAGGACGACCAACTGTCACCGGTCAACAAGTGGCAGAGGGAGTCAACAGCAGTTTTGTCCCCCCGGGTAAAACGAAATGCAGTTGAACAAGGATATTTTTAGGAGACCCAATTTAATGCTATATTGAATACGTTTTTCTTCATCTCAGGTTCATTGCGGTGCGTAAGTCATGACGGCGTTTGCACTGGGGAGCACGGTACAGTAGGCAACTGTTGCAGCAAGGATAATCTGTATTGTCACAAGAGTAACCCACAGTGGAGCGAAGGACGATGTTACTATGGAAATGGTGAGCATTCCACTATGAATGACTACAAATGCGTGCGGTAGTTTGGGATGTAAAATTTTCCACATTTAATTCTTGAGACCGTGAGATGTTGGCTTTAATGGTCACAAGCACTTACAACCGATGTGAAAGCTAACTTCCTAGTCATCCCTAAAAATTGCGATTTCTTCTGATTTGTTTTAAATACAGGTCTTTAATTCAGGTGAATTCTTTACCATCGAGGTTAATTTCTTCCCTAAAAAAGTTGAATAATATTCAAGTACGTTTTCCTTAAACATCAATCAAGCCTTGGAATGGCAGGCCTCTTGATTGAGTTCTCTGTGTGGGAAAGAGAGGCGATAAATGATACTGACCTGGAGCAGAGAACACCAAGCCCCAAGGGCTGATGCAAACATAACTGTCTACTAAGTACACACTAACAAAAGCATGCATTTGTTAGTGTGTACTTAGTAGACCGTTAGGTTTGTATTGTAGTGTATGCTTGGGGTGTTACAGGTCCGAATGAACTACGGTGCATCCCACACGATGGCGTGTGTGCCGGAGAGCACGGCACCCAAGGCAACTGCTGCACGGGCCAAGGCTTGTACTGCCACAAGGGCGACCCGTCGTGGCCCCTGGGACGGTGCTATTTCGTCGCCCCAGGAACGACTTTGCCGGGATTCGATCAAGTCGCAGCCGGCAGACCGCCTGCACAGGCACCGGTTGCTGCAGCACGGCCACCTCTCACAGGTCAAGAAGTCGTTGAGGGAGCCAACAGCAGTTTTATCCCCACAGGTAAAAAGAAATACCGTTACTCGGGGATATTTTTATGCATGGGTTCCTAAAAAACTCCTATTATCGGTCTAGCGTTGACAAACCAAATTTTCTCAGTAAAGGGGGCGCCCTGGTGAAGCGTTGCGTCATTTTCTGTCATTGAGCTGTCAAGTAAACTTCCGTAATAGTGATCAAGGGGTCTAAAGGAATGAATTTGAGCCCCCCCCCCTTCTCCTTTAAAGAAAATACTCAGAATACAGTATTTTTTGTCGGAATTTTAGTACAGCACGCTAGGATTTATCATTTTCCTACTGAAAGAGGTATGTAGTTGGTACAAAGAAAGGGGTAACATTTGCTCTTTCACTGTGGCAAAAAGCTACGGAAAATTCTGTAAACAGCTTGTGGCAATTCTCCGTAGCCCCCTGGTCAATATTATCCGTAGGACCGTACAGTAATCTCCGTAGGACTATACAGTCTTCCAGGTTCTACGGAGAATACTGTACGGTCCTACGGAGGATACTGTTAGAGCCTACGGAGAATATTGATAAATGGGCTACGGAAAATCTTGGCAAAAAAAAATTAACAGAATTTTCCGTACGTTTTTGCCACAGTGTAGGTTGGGGACAATGTGGTTGGCGTCTGAGCCACCGAGGAAGTAGCAAGGTGCCGTGGGGAGACGAGTTGCGCATCAAAACAGCCCCTGCATTGTTGATCGAGGACTTCCTTCTTTGCTTCTGGTTTCTTTTTCCTTCATCTTAACTCACGAATCTTTGATGCTGTGTGATGCAGGCCAGGACGACTGCATACCCCACCGCGGCGTGTGTACTGGGGCCAACGATTCAGATGGCAACTGCTGCGCTGACCAAGGGCTTTACTGCCACAAGGAACAGCCGCACTCTCTGACGGGGCGCTGCTTCGTCAGGCCTATCCTCGACCTACCTGAAGAAACAACCCAGCATGACCTTCCCGGGCAGAGTAGTGGTGAGAATTGAATGAGCTATGTCCCACAAATGAAGCTTTTGGATCGTTCTTTAACTGTTGCATCGTTTGTTAGGTTTAAAAGTATCGTCTCCACGTTCCCAACCTAGAGTCGAAGCATCCATTTAAATGATCGTCGAGCTTTCTCAAACTTTTTCTCAAACGCTTATTCGCCTGGTCATTAGAGAAATTGCACCACTAGGGTGTCACAGGCTTTTTTCAAAATGCCTTTTTGTGAAGAGTGCCTGCTCAAGTGCTCCACGTTTGCAGATGACGGTGCGACTGACTGCGTCCCATTCGACGGCGAGTGTACTGGAGTTGACGGCACGCGAGGGAACTGTTGCAGTGGAACAGGACTTTATTGTAACAAAGCGCACCCGTCCTTTCCCAAGGGCCGCTGCTTCTACAGAGAAGGAACGTTTTGGATATAAAAACCAAGCTGATCTGTTAAGATTCCCAAAAGTAAAAATTTAGTCAAAATCGATGAACTTCTACAACATTTTATATTTACCTCACTCAAAGTGTGTTGAGGAGGGTATAAACCCTGGACTACTGCAAAACCATAATTTTTCTCCCTATTTATTTGTCGTGTTTGATACTTTCAGGGGTGATAATTCTCCTTTTCCTATGAGCAAAGTACGTCATATCCTTTTGGTTGGTGCGATAGAAACTGCGTTTTTAAACATCAAAAATTAGTTTAAAAACTGTTGTGTTGTGCGTTATTTTATTGAGAAAACGTGTCCATTGATTGAGGTAAAAAAAAATTCTGATTGAAGTAAATAGTATACAACTTCTTCCACAATTTTTGACTAGGACATTTCCTTTCTATCTTGGAGAGGACAGTTGGTGATGTCGGACTTCGTCCAAGTGGTGAACCGACTCACCGGACGACACGCATCATGTCAAACCGGCGAGAACCATGCCCGTTGAGTAAAATATCTGCCACGATTAACTCAGTCTTGCGGCCTGCAGAGTTTGCAATTTTTCTTAAATTGGAGAAATTCTATTAATGTATTGCAATTTTGCTATACCGATGCATGGGAAAAATCCTGTACAACAGATAGGACAACCCCTATACACGTATAGTCATAATGGTATACCGATGTACAGGAAAATTGCCATACAAGTGTGTGGATCACACACTGTGTGGTAATATTCCTATACATGTATATGTGAATTGTTTCATATACATGTATAGGAATTTGACATCAAAAATTTTACGATATTCTCATACAAAACCGTTCATTTAATTGCGAAAAAATCGTATCAGACCGATTATGTCACTAACCAAATTAAGAAACAGATTGTCGTTAAAAGAGCATTCTGGCGATCGAAGAACAAGAGGAAAGAACAAAACCGGACGCTGGGAAGAAAGGCAGTAGGAAGCGAGCACCCCACTCAAAACTCCTAACGGACACCATGCATGGATGGAATCATCCGTATCACAAGCAAAATCCGTCCATCATTACGATTGCACAAAAATGTCCGGAATACATACATATAGATGTATCCGTAAGAAGTTTAGTGAGCGGTTTCAGGGAGATATGTTAACAAATACTTTTATTTCCCTTGGCAAAAAGTATTTGAAACTGACGAAAGTGCATTGGAAATTTTCTCTTCATCTTGCTGAAAATGCTTTTGCATTTGCATTAATTGACGCTATATTCATAGCGTTTAGATTCTCAGTGTAGGTAGCCGTAGCAGTATCCCAACCGCGTCGCCGGTCTAACATCACTCGCGTGCTTGGATTTGCGCGCCCGCCTCGTTGTTGAAGATTACGGCGAGAGCTGGTCTGGTCTCTTCGTCGTCGCTGTTGCCTTGGTCGACGTAACTGTCCTGGTCCGTGGCGACCGTGTTCGCGTGCCTCGCTGCAGGCGTTGGCACCAGGCGCTTGAAGGCTGCGAAGCATTGGCAACGGGAAGCCACGACATGATGGCTTCTGTTCGGCCAGAACGTGATCAGCAAGAAGTAAGCCCCCGCTGCAGCAATGACCACGAAGAGCGAGATGAGCCCCAGGTCCAGCGCTAGGCCATCGAAGAAGAAGTGCCTTGCGCCGGGCAGTGGCGAGATTGTTTTGACTTCCGGTAGGTCATTGTTTGACGTGAGGTGTAGCTTCTCGCGCAGCCAGTTCCTGACGCTGTCTCCATTTAAGTCTGTGAAGACGTATACGCCCGCAGCCCCGTGGCAAATGATGCCGCGCAGGAACCAAGAGCCGCCCTCCTGCACCAGCAAGGCAGTCCCTTGCATCACCATCTCTGCAAGCAAAAAGGGTTAGAAAGTGAGCGTCAGTCCTTCTCGTCAAATAGACTCACGGGAAACAAAGTGTACCACTGGCATATATCGTGCAGAAAACGTCGTCCGTGGAGGAGGGCACTCTCTTGTGCCCATGCAGCCACGCGCGGCATTCCTCCAGGCTGAGGGTGGACAGTGCGAACAGGATGTGGTGGTTCGAGATGAAAAGTCCTCGCCATGTCTCCACCTGCAAACGGTGAAACAACCATAAGCGTAACCCTGAAACCAAGAACGGTTCTCATGAAATCGTGATCTTCTGCATGAAATGTTCCTGACGGATATCACAGGTGTTTTAAATAGTTAATATCTTATGCATGGCAATTCACGAAGATATTTGTAGTAAGGGAGTATGGGGCGATTTGTAACAGATTTCGGAATTCTCTATACAAAAGTAAGAACATTCTGCATATCGGTGTCAAACTTGTGCCAGTTGAGCAGTCTGGCCCTTCATCTAGACTGTGCAGCTCCATTGGATCAATCTGGAGTCCGTAATCTTTGAAATCTAAGACGTTTTCCAAACTCTTGCATGCTGTTACGAATCGCCCCAGCAAGGGGTGATTTGTAACAGCCATGGGGCTTTTCATAACATCCTACACATTAAATGAAACATCGTCGGGAATGTTATCTCCTCCACCAGTTGTTCTTCGGGTGTCCTGCAGACGTCGAAAAATCCTCATTTCAAGCTGCCGTTGACCGCCTCAGCATTAACTGATAGGCTATGTCAATCCTAACCTCACTTTTGTCAATCTTAGAGGAAAGCATAGAATAACTCGCTTTAAAATGCATTTCGAGCTGTGTTAATGTATTGGAATAAAACAGCAGATGATTCGAGAAATAATTCAAGCATTTAACAGCAAAAACTACTTAAATTCTTGTTTTTATACAGGTCTGTTACGAATCACCCCAAATGTCGGTTACGCAAGAAATCCGTCCCTAACTATTACTGGACAAAGTAAAAGCAACTTATGCCACGTGGTTACACTGTAAAGGGGTCACGCTTCAAGGCCCCAACGGTACTTCGATGGTGATTCATACCTGGGGAGCCTCAGACAGAAACTTCCTAGAACTAAAAATAAAAGATTTGCCTGTTTGCCGAAATTTCGGTGTACCCTATATTTCAGACGCCCTCCAAAACTATACCTGAGCACCGATCACATCCGCTTCGATTGTTGAAGGACCCTGTACTTGAAGCGAAAGAGGGGCCATACTCAGATTTTCCTCTGCTCCCTCAGCTTAAATTAATAAACGCATTTGTTACGAATCGCCCCTGTTACAAATCGCCCCATACTCCCTTACTTTCCACTGCAGGAAAAAGTGTGGATAGTACAAAAGAAGTACAACGGGGATTACAAAAAGGGTAAAACGAGGATTGTGGACAGTACAATCTTGTACTGTCCACAATTGTTTTACTTTGAAAGTAATAAAACTGACTGAAAATTTGCCAGGATATGTTGTACTTTTGTTGTAGTTTTTTCTTGCAGTGTCGGCTCGCTTCGGCATTGACGCTGAGCAGACTTTTTTTTGCAGATGCAAATGTATGTTACCTTTGTCTTTATTACTTATGTTAGTTTAATTCATAGTGGTCTGCCAATTTAAACAGAACTCCGCCCAACGCAGTCCTGGACTCAGCTATATTTGTTGAACCAAAACATAATTGAAAGAAATCGTTTTGTTTTTTTAGGCACGAAGTAGCCTTATAGTATACCCAGGATTCAGCCGGCCCGAGATTCGATTTGTGTGGCCCTTTATGCATTTCGGAAATTTTCTATACGATTTTAATGAGATTTTGCAGACTTGTAGAACTTTGAACGCTGATTCTGATGCTGAAATCTGGTTAAAAAGTCAACGGCCAATTTTGAGAAATTTGCTGTCAAAATCGCCGTTTCCATGGCAAAACTCGACTCGTCACAGGAAAAAAAAAGGGAGTGGGGGGAGCCGAGCCGGACCAATAGCGGAGCTTCTTTTTGGGTCTGTACAGCGTACTCCAAAAGCTGAAATAGCACGTTCGAAATGAAAAATTTCTTTGACTGCAGGTAGACAAGATGCAACAATAGAATTGGTGTCGTTTCGAACGTGGCCATTTGGATCGGCCGGCCGGCCAGTGACTTTTTATGAGAGTGTCCCGCACCAATCCCGCACCGCTGCGTTGTTGCTTTTGCTGTTGTTTTGTTGAAAATTTTTGTTACTCTTCAAATCGGAGTGAATTGAGCCATTTAACTGCGTACCTGTGCTCATGCATCTGTGAATTGTCTTTCCTTAATGTAGTTTAAGAGTCGCTTTAAGACTTTTAGTCTCTTTTTGAATAAGCTGGTCATATAGCTGCTCCTTTTAACCAGGTTTGATGGTACTTCTAATTCAGTTAGCACCATGATCACTTAGCTCCACCTCGCGACTTTCAGTGCTCATGTTCTTCGAACAAGACTCACCCGCGTTTCGAGACCATCCCTCTCGAGTTTATAAAGTTTGTCAAGCCAACCGTCGTGGTGTTGCTACGTTGTGAGTGAGAACTATTACACAGAGTTGAAGAAAACATGACTAGAGAACCGTAGCCTTTTGAAACAAGCCAAACAATTCAACGTCAGCAACAATGGAGGGGCAGTTTTAATGCGCGACTATACTCGTGTTTTCAGCTTCGCGATTTTCGCAAGGGCGCAGGCGCCGACAAAATTGTTGCCAACCCGCGAAAATTAATTTACTGCCTTCTTTCTGCAACCAAAATTTTCATAATGATGGACTTCAAAGATGTTCCTTTGTCGGATCACTGTGGAATACAGGGTGAGTTTTCTCAATGTGTCAATAATTTGTAGGTAGTTTGATCACCCCAAGGCAATCATTTTCTACCAATGAACTAGTGGGCGCAAACGTCTAGGTACGGAGATAATTGGTGTTTTGTAATTGGCCTTCGCGCCTGCAAGGTAGGCACCCGCTGCCACTGCTGGTCGCAGGACCTCACGTGTGGGTGTCGCGGGTCTAGGAGGGGTGCTTCGAGTCTCGTAGGGGTGCGGCGGACCTTGCAAATGTCTTTTGGGAGGGATTGCCGCGGGTCTCAAGAGGCTGTCATGGTGGACCCCGTTACAGTGGATCTCACGGCTGTCTTTGCGAGGGTGGCGGGATTCCTCGGATACTTCCGCGAGGTCAGTGGCACTCCCGCGAGTACTGCTAGTCCCGCGACACCCCCTCGACAGGTCCTGCCGCCCTCAGTGGCACCGGGTGCCTACCTCGTACGCGCAAAATCCAATTACAAAACACCAATTATCTCCGTACCTAGACGTTTGCGCCCACTAGTTCATTGGTGAAAAATGGTCCCCTAGGGATGCCCAAACTGCCTGCAAATTATTGACACATTGAGGAAACTCACCCTGTACATTAGCATTGGAATTTTTCGAATTTCCCGGCATTTTGATTTCTCTTTATTGCCATGGTTAAATTTTGACGGGTGGCACATCGACCACATTGGCACCACTGCCATTCGTAGCCACCCTTGAGCCACCCCCTACCTTTTACCAGGGTGTAATAACATAACATTATCATTATAGTTAGCGTTAAGTTATTTGTTAAAAGTTATAACTAGTAACCTTTAAGTGTTTGCTCGTCCTTTAACGTTATTCACTTCACTCATAAATTTTACGTTAATTTTTATCTGGTTATTTTTTATACCGAATTTAAGTTTATCAAATTACTTTTCGGTAAAAGAATAACGGTAATCCAGTTTCAGAGCAATTTATGTTAAAAGAATAGGGGTTTTTATTTGTAGCATTTTATTGTTTATTTTTAATCTTATGATATCGTGTCATAACGTTAATTAGTTGTAACTATTGGTAGATGTACCAATATTAAATGTTAGGAACCATAACGATTATTAACGTTAATTCAGTGGAAGCCATTTCCCGTGCCGGCCGTGCCTCGCGACATGAGACGGGGGGTTTTATTGTGCCTAGGACCTACCTAGGACCCATGCAGGACCTAGTCAGACACACTGTTGTTGTGTACCTGACAAGCACAGTGTTCAGAACAGCGTGCCATGCACAATTGCGTTTGCAAAGTGCGGGGTGGCAATCACATTCTCGATTGTAACTGTAGCAATTAACGTTATTTGCGTGCCACGAAATCCACGAATGATTTTAGTTAAAATAATTAACGTTATTTGCTAACCTCGAATTTTGTGTTAAAGTCCACAATTGTTATGTGCACATTAACGTTATAAAATATTAACGTTATTTCTTCATAACTGTTATAAACCTTAACAACAATGTTTTACGACGTGGTTTTTTCGGTATAACCTATTATCGATAATTCAATAACGTTAATGGCCGCCCTAAAGAATTAACGTTAATAAACTCAACATATTATAGTTGTGATACTAACATTAACTAACAAAATAAAAGTCATAGTAATAACGTTAATTCCTTAGTTAACGTTAAGGTAATGATAATGTAAAGTTTGCACACCCTGCCTTTTACATAACTTTTTTTTGCTTTCCCCACACTCCTACCCGAATTGACTTCGTGACTCCTAGGATTTCTTGAAATCGTTTTTTTTTGTCTGGAACGCTTTAAAGGGTTACCGACCACGCCAACTTTTGACGTGACAAGGGGCGGCTGATTTGGCGCGGAGCCGTCCAGGTCGAGGCAGGGGAAGACACCATTCTTGATGGGGGTCTTGAGCACCAACAGGCCCAGGTCCCAAGCACGGTCGCGGGCTGGTGCGTGGTCGCTCTCGTGCACTTGCAGGGAGGTCACCTGGTGGCAAAGTGGGCCAAACATGAAAGTGCAATGACCCCAAGTCACCATCGACCGGGGAACAGCTCACTCACCTCAACCTTCGTCTTCTTTCCTTTGGGGCTAACCCACACCACGTACAGCATATCTGCGGTCTTTAGCCGGACGTCGCCGGAGTCGTTCCTCCGCCCATTGGGAACCACCAGGATGTTGGCATCTGCCAATGAGGCCAAAGTCAATACTGTTATTCAACGAATGTGACGTCCCCTTTGCTGGAATGGGTAAATGTTGTCACTTTCGTTTGAATACGATGCCGCAGTCGTTAGAACGTGACAGCATGGCCAATTTATGAGCAGTTGCCAAAATAAGGGTATCTTTCGTGTCTTTTTGCTCTATAATCGTTTCTTTTCAACGTATTGAGATGCGGTTTGGTGCGTTGTGTTAGGCTCGACGTCGCCCACTCTTATCCATCTTAAGTTACCACTTTTTCAATTCAGAAGATGTCGATACTGATTTGGTTTTCATTCAGTTTTTAATCAATCTCCTTCAAAACAAATCTAATCTACGTGTAATAACATCGTATCATAAAGAACGTGACCAAAGTCACATTCTACCGAATATGACGTCACATTCGTTTAAAAAAAGTGCGAATGACGGTTGAAGGCAAGTACTGACCAGTGATTACAAGGTTGTCTGCCACAAGGACCCCCTCGTTTACATCGTAGAAGTCGACATCTCCCTCTATTCTGACAAACACGCCGACGGTCCAGGACAGGTGGCCAACTATGCTCTGATTGGCGCTCAGGGAAGCCAGTGGCAGCGTTGTCTGGCCGCACTGTGGCAAACGAATAGAAAATAACTGAAAAGCAGCTGGTGCTTTGTCTCGTCCTGGACATGAGTCATTCTCCAGAAATAAAACAATTTGATGTGCCTCCCTCTTTGCGACCGAACGGTTCCACCTAGAGATACGCGGTTTGCGCTGTGACATAGTGCTGCTAGTGCGTCGAAATGATCCACAGTTGGGTAAGGAAATCTGTGAGGTTTTTAGGTGACTGCGGCATCCGAGAGGGTGCAAAATGAAAACTCCGTAGGGGTCTTTATGGACAGTTTACTCACATTACTTAGTTTGCCCGTCTCGTTTGTCTTAACGCAGGGTGCGGAAACGGCCTAGGGAGCGCGGGAAGCCATGCTCGAGCGAGGTGCAGGGGTTACGGCCTTTACTTCGCTTGTAGAATCGAGGCCGTTGTTTGCAAAACGCCTTGCACAGATCAAAAGAGCGTTAAATTAAGGTGCATTAGACCTAGTAGCCTGCCCGATACTTCCAATTCAACCTACCCCAAGGGCGAAAACATTTTCATGGCGCAAACGAGGTTTTTCCTACACTCTTTTAAAACCTTACGAAGTATTTTGAGCATACGTATAACAAACTAAAATACTTTGTTATACGAAGAAATAGTTCGTAAATTACAAAGTATGTCCTTTGTAAGCTTACGTATGCTCAAAATACTTTGTTATACAAACTACTTTTCTCTGTAAGGCCAAAAACAGTATGTAAGGTTTTCTCAGTGTACATTTTATGATTTCTCGTGTTTTTCGGTGGTTCTGCAAGGCCGTAATATCTGCACTGATGGCGCGAGCATGGCTTTACGCTCTCCCCGGGCTGTTGCCAACCCCTGCTTAACGTGACACAGGATAACCGTTCGCGAGGACTCTTATTACTGAGGAACTCTGATACTTGAACTTAACCATCCTGACTTTCATAAAATGTAAGCAGCTTCGCGCCTGCATAGAAATAACTTTTGTCCCGACGGGTTAACTGTGAGTAGATTCTATTCAGCAAATAAGGGGGAGCGGGGGTATGCATTTGCCTTTGTGTTGTTGTTGGCGTCTGTGTGCAAGAAAGTAGTCGCACTTGAGTTACCAGATTTGGAGGGTACTTCAGGAGTACCGTCCCCACAAATAATCTGGCGCAGCGAAGCGGAGCTGGCAACTCGTTTCGACGGAAGGGCGAGCCCTGTATTCTTCTAGATCGTCAGCCGAATTGTGAATGTGTATGCACTGGCATCTCTGGATCTTATCTGAAGAGGTCTTTCCTGCCCAACCGTATCAATGTTATATGTTTGCAGAAACATGTACCTCGCGTCGAGGCGCATCAGTGCGCGGCGTTGTAGGCACGTCGTTCCTCGGCGCCAAAATGGTCATTTCCGTCGCGGACGGAGTGCTCGCGCTGGTCCTGGAGGTCCCTTGGCCCAGCTTCCCACCTGCTGGAATTACGCAAACACCTTGAAGGAAAATTGTGGCAAAGGAAACAAGGCATCCGGAGAAGCTGGACACAGTGTTATAATTGATCACAATAACCTAAAGAAAGAATACCTTTCCTTTATGAGCACGCCTCTGACAAAAGCATATAAGAAAAGTGGAACATAAGATGCAGGTCAGCATCAAGGCCGAGGGCCTACACTGTGGCAAAAAGGGAAGGAAAAATTCTGTTATTTTTTTTTGCCAGGATTCTCCGTGGCCCTCTTATCAATATTCTCCGTAGGGCCGCACAGTATTCTCTGTAAGTCCGCACAGTCTTCTCCGTAGGACCTGGAAGACTGTATAGTCCTACGGAGATCACTGTAAGGTCCTACGGAGAATACTGTGCGGTCCTACAGAAAATACTGTAAGAGCCTACGAATATTGATAAGGGGGCTACGGAGAATTACCACAAGCTGTTTACAGAATATTCCGTAGCTTTTTGCCACAGTGTACCCCCGGCTAGAAGTAATTAGCCGTACCTTCGCCCTCCGGAATGGCGAAGTGACCGACGGCGACCAGCCACTCGAGAACGTCGGGGTCATCCAGGCTAGCAAATAAGTGAATGTCTCCCCGCCGTGAGCTGCTCAACACGCCGCGGAGATACCACCGGCCGTTGGTCATGACGGAAAGCGCGTAGCCCATTGGCGCGATCCCAGCTGCGTCACCTACAACACGGCTTGCGCTGTTAGGACTTAAGGTGGGAAATACCCATTGAAGCCCCTTTTTTTAAAGTGCCTAGTTTTCATTGAAAACTCTTTCCTACCTTAAGGAGTTTAATTTTGTCTTGTAATGTGTTCCTTATAGATTCCGAATTCAGCCAGACATTTAACCCAAGTACCCTATGAGTGTAGAAAACTTCGGCCAAAAAACAACGCTGCCAACCTTCGGTGCGCACGTTTTCTCGAAAAGTAATTGATCTCCGGGTCCAGGTATTCTGTACAGGATACTTGACACATATATCTAGTTCACACCGTGGCCCTTTTTTGTAAGTGAGTTCTAGTTTTTTGTAAACACGGCAGAAAAGTGCAAAAAATGAAGTATTGACTATCTATTTTCACTTTTCAGCCTTATTTACAAAAAAACTGGAAGTCATTTTCAAAAAAGGGCGACGGTGTGAGCTAGATATATGTGTCAAATATCCTGTACAGAATACCTGGACCTGGAGATCAATTACTTTTCGAGAAAACGTGCGCACCGAAGGTTGGCGGCGTTGTTTTTTGGCCGAAGTTTTCTACACTCATAGGGTACTTGGGTTAAATGTCTGGCTGAATTCGGAATCTATAAGGAACACATTACAAGACAAAATTAAACTCCTTAAGGTAGGAAAGAGTTTTCAATGAAAACTAGGCACTTTAAAAAAAGGGGCTTCAATGGGTATTTCCCACCTTAAATGCTTATGCCCCGTGTCTCCCTATCGCCTGCTCAACAGAACCAAATGTAGTGATCCAAATGCCGGAAAAGGCCCACCCTCATTCATGTCCACGAAATAAGTCTCAGCGCAGAATTCGTCCTCAGCCCATGAAACCGCGTTGGTGGAATTGAGGAGGCCATTGCACTCGTCCGTGGTGCGGTAGTGGACGGGCACCAACGAGTTGATGCTTGCAGAGTCGATGCTGTCGGCATTGTACTCAACCTGTTTGGATGGAAGCGGTCAATGAATGTTAAGCAGGAAGAACTGCTCGCTATGTTGGAACTAGACCTAGGCCTGAGCAGGGGGTAGCAACACGGCACTTTTGAGCTCTCCGTGCCATAGCGAGGCTCGGCCCCCCACCACTCGCCCAGCCGGGCAGGCCTGTTGTGAGCCGAGCTCACTGCTTCGAAAATCACTGTTTCCGGACGTTCTTTAATTGGAGGCCAATCAGTCTCGTTTCCCTTGTTCCCAGTTCCCTTGAAAATATTGTTTTCTTTCGATAAAGCACAAAAAGTATTTGATTTGTATCAAAATCACGGAGAATTTTTACCAAAGCAAAGTCGCAGCACCTGGCCGCGGCTCGTCGACGTCCCGCTTTGGTAAAAATTCTCCCCTTTTTTACTCAAATCAAATATCATCTGTGCTTTGTCGAAAGAAAACAATATTTACGAGGGAACTGACTGCAAACGAGACTGATTTGCCACTATAGAACGTCCCAAAGCAGTGATTTTCGAAGTGGTGAGCTCGGTTCACATCAGGCCGGCACCGACCGGCTAGGGCGGTTGTGGGCAAGGGGGTAAACACTCACGTAATACCCTGTACAGAAAAACCGTGTATTACGCGTAATACACGTAATTGTAATACCATTTTTGGACCAAATGTGCCAAATTTTGGCATTTTGGTGCCGTAATACACGTGTAATATCCCTGTAATACAGCGTAATACCGAGTACTCTGTACACGATTTCTTGGAGTGGTTACCCCCTCGGTTGTGGGGGGCCGAGCCTCGCTACGGCACGGAGCGCTCAAAAGTGCCGTGTTGCTACCCCCTGGCCTGGATGATTTTTGGGAAGACCACTTTGACAGTAATTTTGGTTGGCAGGTTCCAAGATCCCAGAAAGCCCCAAACCCTCAAAAACAGACCTTTTTGGAGGTTTTGCCGGGTTTGGCACCCCTACCAAATCCACAATCGGTGTCCGATCCGGCCCAATTTGTGTTTCGGCAATTAGAATTCGCTGGATAAAAAACAACCTGTTGTAGCCAGATCTGAGGGAATCCCCGGCCGAGGTTTTTTTTTTTTTTTTTTTTTTGTCTGGAATTGCTCTTTTGGGAATACAGCGAGTCTACGGGCTCTAGACGGGGCAGTGCGATTGAGGCATCTTCGGATCGGAAAGCTATCACACTGTGGCAAAAAGCTACGGAATATTCTGTAAACAGCTTGTGGGAATTCTCCGTAGCCCCCTTATCAATATTCTCCGTAGGCTCGAACAGTATTTTCTGTAGGACCGCGCAGTACTCTCCGTAGGACCTTACAGTGATCTCCGTAGGACTATACAGTCTTCTAGGTCCTACGGAGAAGACTGTGCGGACTTACAGAGAATACTGTGCGGCCCTACGGAGAATACTGTAAGAGCCCACGGAGAATATTGATAATAGGGCTACGGAGAATCCTGGCAAAAAAATTAACAGAATTTTCCGTACCTTTTTGCCACAGTGCAGGCAGTCCTAGTCCCGACGCGGACTCGTAGCGGACGGTCCGGTCTAGTCTCGGGCGCTCTGTGGAGCAGTCTGCGGGTGTTCAGACTGCTTCAGACCGATTTCAAACAGTTTTCGGAACATTTCGCTTTCATGTGAGGTTGAGAACATCGTTCCATCAACAAATTTATCGCGATTATTTTTGATCAATCGCACCAGGCCAACCGAACCCGCTGCGAGCCGCGGCACGCTGCCAGCCGGCAACGGCAAGCACACGGGCGTGAGGGGCACGGCGGTCTTGAGCACAAGCACGGCGAGGTCGTGGGTGGAGTCCTGAGGCTGGGCCCTGGGTCGCGCTCGGATGTGGATTCGCTGCACCTGAAGTAAGGAATACAGTAACACCTCCAGAGACACAGATTAATGGCAATGAATTTCGATTTAAAAAAACAAGCAATGAAATGCAGAAAATTTAACATGAACCCAGGTCTGAATAACAGGAAAAGTAGCGATATACATCGGCAACTTTGGCCCGTCCCGTACATTAAGAAACGTACGAATTTCTCCTATGTTTGACCCTGACAGGAATTAAATCTGAGTCTGGGGTTAAAATAAATGTCGTTTTCGTCATCAGCACCCTCCAAAACATCAGAAACAATGCAAAAACTCGAATAAAAAGAATGTTCCAAAAATACCCCGCTGGGATTTGAACCCGGGTCCGAACTTCTCCGATTTGCTCGAAACTGGCACCATTGGTTTTCTCTCGTCGCCCCGATTCCAAAAATACCCCTACAGCTGCATCCGTTGCCGAGATCCTCCTGGACCCCATGTAGACCATGATGCACCTGCAGCAGCGCCCCCGGGGCTCGGATCGGATTTGCTGCCACCAGGCGGTTCTTAGGGTCACCCAAGGAGGCTGCATACCAAATTTGGTCAAGATCGGACCTCGGGAAGTCCTCGGACGAACGAACGGACGAACGAACGAACGAACGAACGAACGAACGGACGCACAGCATGCATCATACTATATGCCCGTCCCTCCGTCATTTTTTTACAAAAAATAAACGGGACGGGCCAAAAACTGCACTGCCTGTCCCGGATCCTCAATTGGTTCCAGTTCTGCTCCAATGTTCTTTGGCACGCAAACAAAATTGATGTTTAAACATTGTTGCTTCATGTTACGAACGTGACAAAATTCAAATTTTAACGAATGTGACGTCACATTCGTTAAAAAACAGTTGTTCCACGACCTTGTCGACTATTTCCCCTGAGTAAATGCGCTCAAATAGAGGGGAGGTACCCCTCGGATGGCATGGAGTGGTACTCGACCTCTGCGGTGCGCCGTTCCCTGCGGTCCACGGGAGTGTACTTGACGAGCACAGCGCTGGTAGGAATCGGCTCCACGGTGTTGTTTGAAGCCGCGCTCGCGACGACGAGGTGCCTGGCAGCTGTTGGTTGGTCAACAAATAAAATGTAAACGTTCAGTGCTCACTGCAGGGTCAGGGCGGGGAAAAACTGGACAGGGGAATAATTGGACGCCCCATATTTTACTTCAAATGCCGTATGCACAGATTTAACAACTATCATGCGGAACCCGCTGATGCCACGGAGCAACTTTTGATGCTTGTTATGCCTGTGCCTACGGTATTCGAAGTTAAATATGGGGTGTCCAGTTCTCTCCCTGTCCTGTTCTTCCCCGCCCTAACCCTATGAGGTAAAGTGCCCAGTGATGGCCACTTTACACATTGCGCTGACTTTCCACACTGTGGCAAAAAGGTACGGAAAATTCTGTTAATTTTTTTGCCAGGATTCTCCGTAGCCCTATTATCAATATTCTCCGTAGGCTCTTACAGTATTCTCCGTAGGGCCGCACAGTATTCTCTGTAAGTCCGCACAGTCTTCTCCGTAGGACCTAGAAGACTGTATAGTCCTACGGAGATCACTGTAAGGTCCTACGGAGAGTACTGTGCGGTCCTACAGAAAATACTGTTCGAGCCTACGGAGAGTATTGATAAGGGGGCTACGGAGAATTCCCACAAGCTGTTAACAGAATATTCCGTAGCTTTTTGCCACAGTGCATCCAGGCGAGATAAGTGGAACAATTGAGCTTTTGGGGGTTTTGTACTGTCACGTATTAGCAACACAACGCCGAAAACATGTCGTCCTGTTAGTGTCGTGGACGACCGCACGGGCCCAACGCGCCGAACACTGCGTTTTCATTCTTACCGGCCCAGATAAGCGCACACCGGCGCCGCCGCTTATCAGTTTTGTATACGATGTCCGTGCGAAATAAACATCACGTCAGTAAAGGGTAATTCTTTGTAGGATCAGCAAGTTCCAAAACGCGACTGCCACCGGTCCGCATGAAACTTACATGGATGATTACCGACTTGACCCTTGCCAAGAATAGACATTTGGTTTTGGGCCTAACATCTCTCGTTATCGAAATATCGTACAATATCCATTTGAGCCGATGACTCCGAAATTGCTTACAAATTCGCCTGTAACTCGAAAACCGTAAGTTTCACCCGGATCGGTGGCAGTCGCGTTTTGGAACTTGCTAATTCTACAAAGAATTACTTCAAAGTCAAGCGATGGCAAATTAACCATAGCATGCAAGTTTTCTTGAAATTTCGTTGCGTTTGAGGGTAAAGGGAAAGTGGCCACTTCTGGGACAGCAAACCTGCGCCCGGCCTGAGATATGGTCACAGTGTTTTGAAGCGGACTTTGCTGCGAACAATGTGACGCGGTGCATGTCCTCGTTGCCTGCAATAACTTGTTTTGGATCAGACGTTTCGAGGGGTCCTATTCAAAAGATCTTATCTGCGCGTTCCCCCCAAGAGAATCTTATCTTAAACGCAGGCAAATTTCACTCAGTTTGACCATTTGATACAGCTACAAATCAAAATAATTTCTGATTTAATTCACTGAAATGTGAAGATGAATGATCAAAGAAACGAAAAGTGCGCGTAGAAATATATTCCGCTTACTCTCGTAGCCGTCACAAATGGTCAAAATGAGTGAAATTCGCCTGCGTTTAAGATAAGATTGTCTTGGAGGGAACGCCCAGATAAGATTCTTTGAATAGGACCCCTCGGTTCTACTTCCCGTACCTCATGGAAAACCTGATTGCACTGTACCATAGAAACTGCCTAAACACCGTATTTATTACTAGGGGTACGCGCCGTTTAGTCTGGGCGCGTAGTGTGGCTGAGCGATGCGAATTGACATGGTTTGTGCACTTTGGACTTTGCTTGAGAAGACGAAATGTGCATCTTAAGGACTCATATTGAGTGAACTTTAGACCAGGGGTACAAATGGAAGTGATTTTCGTTATCAGAACATCAAAAACTGCTGGGATCAATGCCAAACTCGATTTAAAAATTTTGGTCCAAAATTGGTTAAAATTCGGTTAAATGTGAGTCTGGGAAAAGTTTGAAGGTCATTTTTGAGTTCAGCACACCAAAAACTGCAGGAAACAATATAAAACTCGACTCGAAAATTTTGGTCCAAAATGACCTTGTTTCGGATGAAAATATAAGTCTGATGTCAAAATGGAAGTGATTTTTGCTATCAGCACTCAAAAAACTGCAAGAATCAATGTGCAATTCAATTTAAAAAATTTGACCCAAAATCGGTTAAATTTTGGGTCTGGGGACTATTTAGAAGTCAATATTGAAGTCAGCGCACTGAAAACTGCAGGGAAACGCATGACTCTCAAATTAGAAAGTTTCACCCCAAATTGCGTAGCTCTAGGTGAAAGTGTAGGTTTGGCATTGAAATAAATGTAGCTTTTGTGACTAGTACACTGAAATCTACAAACAACTATCTAGACTCAATTTCTGTACATGCCTACACTGTCTTCATGAAGCACCCTCTGTCATCACCAATTCCCTGATGCCACACCAATGTGAATCCCTCAGTCGAGTAACATTCTATTGCCAGCATTGAATCGCTTAATTGGTTACTCGTATGATTGGGTCACTATTCGATATCTCTTTTTTTTTAACTAATGAATTCTCAATTTTATAAGTAATATCTATGAAACATTTTGCCATTCTTTCATTGTGAACCAGTGAATAAAACAATATTGATTGGCATACGTTATCACAGTTAATATTAAGAGAGTCAGTTTAGGGTAGGCTGATCTGAACCAGTTAACGGGGACCAATTATTGTCAAATCCAGTGATTTGTCATATAGTGTCCAATGCCAAGGCTACCCAAGGCTTTATGAACCGACACAATTTATCTTACTCAGGTATGCAATACTGAGTAGTACCAGTTATATTAACTTCAGTGAAGTGAAAGGAATCGTCTCATTAAATCCATTCACTAATTCACTCACCGCTCAAAACCTGAGTCGTCTCTTTGAACCCAATATCAATTCAAACTCTATTAGGATTAAATATACACAACCATACATTGATTCTTTTAATAAACACATGTTAGTACTTTTGCACTCTTGTCAGCTTGCAGCATTGCAATAGAATGTATTTCTCGAGTCCAAACTAAGTATGCCTGCTAATTTCAACACAAGTTATTTATGCATTTCCCTGATTTCCTCTACTATGAAAATTTAAAAAAGAGGATGACACTATAGAAAATGAAACAAGTAGATGCCCACAATACAAAAGGTCAAAATAAAAACATTCTTTTTACACTGCTCTGTCAAAGTGCACTGACCTGAAGAAGATTCCCCTCGAAAGGGGGAGGGGGGAGAGGGGAACGAAACACGTAAATCATTTTCACTGCCATTCTCCATATTTCGCTGTGTTGATACTCTAAAAGGGTTTTAATCATTCTAGAATGTGGAAAAACAATGGCCGATCTCATTTCCAAACCCTTCTGCTCTTTAATTCGTTTTATTTGCTTCTGTCCCGTATTTGAGAGCCGCGGCCGCAGGTATGAGAAATTCGTGAGTGCTGAGTGCTGCCAACCTAACCATGCTAACTAGGGGTACGCGCCGTTTAGTCTGGGCGCGTAGTGTGGCTGAGCGATGCGAATTGACGTAGTTTGTGCACTTTGGACTTTTGAGTAGACGAAATGTGCATCTTATGGGCTTATATTGAGTGAACTTGAGACCAGGGGTACAAAAGGAATTGATTTTCGTTATCAAAACACCAAAAACTGCTGGGATCAATGTCAAACTCGATTTAAAAATTTTGGTCCAAAATTGGTCAAAATTCGGTTAAATGTGAGTCTGGGAAAAGTTTGGAGGTCATTTTTGGGTTCAGCACACCAAAAACTGCAGGAAACAATATAAAACTCGATTTGAAAATTTTGGTCAAAAATGACCTGATTTGGGATGAAAATTTAAGTCTGGAGTCGAAATGGAAGTGATTTTCGTTAACAGCACACCAAAAACTGCTGGGATCAACGTCAAACTCGATTTAAAAATTTTGGTCCAAAATTGGTCAAAATTCGGTTAAATGTGAGTCTGGGAAAAGTTTGGAGGTCATTTTTGAGTTCAGCACGCCAAAAACTGCAGGAAACAATATAAAACTTGACTTGAAATTTTTGGTCCAAAATGACCTAATATGGGATGAAAATATAGGTCTGGTGTTAAAATGGGAGTTATTTTCGTTATCAGCACTCAAAAAACTGCAAGAATCACTGTACAATTCATTTCAAAAAATTGAACGAAAAATCGGTTAAATTTTGGGTTAGGGGATAATTAAGATGTCAATATTGAGGTCAGCGCACTGGAAACTGCAGGGAAATACATAAATCTCAACTTGAAAAGTTTTGCCCCAAATTGCGTAGCTTTAGATGAAAATGTAGGATTGGCATTGAAATAAATGTAGTTTTTGTGACCAGTACACTGCAAACTACATACAATACTTTAGACTCAATTTCTGTATATTGTTCCTATTTGTCTTCATGAAGCACCCTCTGTCGTCACCAATTCCTGATGCCACACCAAAGCGAATCCCTCAGTCGAGTAAAATTCAATTGCCAGCATTGAATCGCTTAATTGGCTACTCGTATGCTTGGGTCACTATTCGATAACTCTTTTTTCTTAACTAATGAACTCACAATTTTATAAGTTATATTTATGAAACAATTTGTCATTCTTTCATTGTGAACCAGTGAATGAAACAATATTGATTGGAACATATTATCACAGTTAATATTAAGAGAGTCAGTTTAGGGTAGGCTTATCTGAACCAGTTAACGGGGACCAATTATTGTCAAATCCAGTGATTCGTCACATAGAGTCCAATGCCAAGGCTACCCAAGGCTTAATGAACCAACATAATTTATTACTCATGTAAACAATACTGAGTAGTAACAGTTATATTAACTTCGGTGAAGTTAAAGGAATCGCCTCACTAAATCTAATCACCAATTCACTCACCGCTCAAAACCTGAGTTGTCTCTTTGAAACCAATATCAATTCAAACTCCATTAGGATTACACAGCCATATATTGATTCTATTAACTAGGGGTACGCGCCGTTTTGTTTGGGCGCGTAGTAGGCGAGCGATGCGTCTGTATTCTTGTAGAAGATGGTGAAGAATATATGCAAAGTAAGGCCAATACAGGGTCAATGTGAAACTCAATTTTAAAAGTTTGGTCAAAAATTTGGGAAAATTTTTGGGGGAAAGTAAAGGTCTGGGATGAAATTGGAAGTCATTTTCGTGATCAGCACACCAAAAACTGCAGGAAACTATGTAAAACTCGATGTGAAAATTTTGGTCGGAAATTGGTAAATATTTGGAAAAGTAAAGGTCTGAGATGAAATTGAAAGTCATTTTCGTGATCAGCACACCAAAAACTGCAGGAAACTATGTAAAACTCGATGTGAATATTTTGGTCGGAAATTGGTAAATATTTGGAAAAGTAAAGGTCTGAGATGAAATTGGAAGTCATTTTCGTGATCAGCACACCAAAAACTGCAGGAAACTATGTAAAACTCGATGTAAAAATTTTGGTCCGAAATTGGTAAATATTTGGAAAAGTAAAGGTCTGAGATGAAATTGGAAGTCATTTTCGTCATCAGCACACCAAAAACTGCAGGAAACTATGTAAAACTCGATGCAAAAATTTTGGTCCAAAATTGGTAAATATTTGGAAAAGTAAAGGTCTGAGATGAAATTGGAAGTCATTTTCGTGATCAGCACACCAAAAACTGCAGGAAACTATGTAAAACTCGATGCCAAAATTTTGGTCCAAAATTGGTAAATATTTGGGAAAGTAAAGGTCTGGGATGAAATTGGAAGTCATTTTTGTGATCAGCACACCAAATACTGCAGGAAGCAATGAAACACCGAGGAAATTTTGGTCCTAAATCATGTAATTCTAGTTGAAAGTATGGGTCTTCAGTTGTTAGGTTTTTTAAGAGCGTTTCCTGTTCATGGTGTCATGCCATGAACCCTGACCCTATTACTCAGTCGAGTAACATTTAACAGCCAGCATTGAATTGCTTAATACGATTCACAAATACTTCAATTACCATTCGATATCTCCTTGTTACTGAACTTATGAATACGCAATAATATTAGTAATACCTAAAAAGCCTTTCTCCCTTTTAGTTTAAACTAGTGGATTAAACTATATTGATTTATCTGCATTAATTAAAAAGAGACATATTTACAGGCAGGCTGATTTCAACTACTTTACGGAGAAGACCTTCTGTCAGATCCAATGAATCGTTTCATAGAATCCAATGTCGAGGCCACTTATTGCTAAACGCAAGTTTATCTTAATTCATAATGATAGTCATGATGTGTTATTTAATCTTTGAAACAGTTTAGCAAAAGTATTTACCTAACATTCTGAGTAAATTAAAAAGAGAGCCAACTCAAACCATGACCAACACAAATTACTAGTTGTCGCAGACAATGTATGATTAAGTTAAAAGAATCGTCTCATGAAATCATATGACCAAGTCAGTGAATCGTCTCATTGAATCTGATGTCAATGTCAAACCTTGAATGCGCTACACTCACTCATCATATGGTTTTCTTTAAGGTTAGTACTATAGTAAACTCACAGCATTGCAATGAAGCCTTTTCCCAGAATCAGTGCCAAGAGTCCGCAAAGACTATTTATTTTGGCAAGATTAGTATCTGGTTTGTACTTATAGAATGTATTAATATATTTTCTAACTGTTATTGAGCAAAGCAAACAACTAAAAAATATAGTGTCTGAGAATATAAATGGAAATACACTCACAAAGGTTAAAAAGACCAAAACATTCTTGCAATTATCACACACACTCCACTGACTAAAACATTTGCCCTGTCGCGGTGTAGCGGGGGAGGGGAGGGGGCGGACGGACGGACGAAACGCGTAATAATTGTCACTTTCATTTTCCGAATTTCACTCAGTTGACACTCCGGAGGGGTTTCAATCATTCTTAAATATCGAAAAACTATGACCGTACTCACTTCTAAGCCCTTCTGCTCTTTAGTTTGTTTTATTTGCCAATGTTTTGATAGGTCCCGTATTTGAGAGTCGCGGCCGCAAGTATGAAAAATTGCTACGAGCTGTCAAGCACTGCCAACCTAACCACGCTAAGAACCTAATTCAAAAAGATGTTTTGAATATTTCAAACAATAGTAATCGTGAATATAAGATAAACTCCCCCTGGGGGAGATTTAGGAGCCCTCCGGTGCGAAATTTTGAAACTATTTGTGCGGTAGTTGCTGAGAAACGTGAGTGAGTTACGGACACACAGACAGACAGACAGACAGACGCACGACCAGTCACTTTTTGGTGCCCCCAAACACGGCATGGGCTCGCTATCGCTCGCCAATAAACTCATGTTAGTACTTTTGCACTCTTGTCAGCTTGCAGCATTGCAATAGAATGAATTTCTCGAGTCCAAACTAAGTATGCCTGCCAATCTCTACACAAGTTATTTATGCATTTCCCTGATTTCCTCTAGTTTGGAAATTTTAAAAAGAGGATGACACTAGAATGAAATAAGAAGATGCACACAATACAAAAGGTCAAAATAAAAACATCCTTTTTACAATGCTTTGTCAAAGTGCACTGACCTAAAGATGATTTCCCTCGACAGGGGAGGGGTAAGAGGGGAACGAAACACGTAAATCATTTTCGAATCCATTCTCCATATTTCGCTGTGTTGGTGTTCCAAAAGGGTTTTAATCATTCAAGAATGTTGAAAAACTAAGGCCGATCTCATTTCTAAACCCTTCTGCTCTTTATTTCGTTTTATTTGCTTATTTGCTTAAGTCCCGTATTTGAGAGCCGCGGACCCGCAGGTATGAGAAATTGGTGAGCGCTGCCGCGCTGCCAACCTAACCACGCTAATGACCTGATTCAAAAATGTGTTTTGAATATTTCAAACGATACTAAACAACGATTTGAAACAAACTCGTGTTGGGGGGTACTAAGGCGACGTTAAATACGAAATCTTGAAACTATAGCCACTGTAGTTGCTGAGAATCGTTGGTGAGTACAAAGTCACAGACAGACAGACGCACGACCAGTCACTTTTCAGCGCGCCCAAACACGGCAAGGGCTTCGCTAACGCTCAGCCAAATAACCTGATTCAAAAGTATGTTTTGAATATTTCAAACGATACTAAACAACGATTTGAAACAAACTCGTGTTGGGGGGTACTAAGGTGACGTTAAATACGAAATCTTGAAACTATAGCCACTGCAGTTGCTGAGAATCGTTGGTGAGTACAAACACACAGACAGACAGACTCACGACCAGTCACTTTTCAGCGCGCCCAAACACGGCAAGGGCTTCGCTATCGCTCAGCCAATAAGTTTTGACTTTAAGTCAAAATCTCCAAGATACGATAGAAACTATTCGATTTCGGGAACGTGTTCACCTCATCATGGTGAACAAAAAATGTAAAGCGTGCAACTGGTTCAGACTGGATTTTCAGAAGTTATCGGCGTCAAAAGTGCCAGAAAGATGCATTTTGAACCTTTTTTCCACTTCGGACACCGATAACTTTTGAATTGTGGCCATCACTGGGCCAGTGCACTGGCCATCTCTGGGCAAAAGCTGACCATCACTGGGTAAACTGTAATATTTTAGGAATTTTTTTCTCCAAGAATGAATTAGGTTTTGCTCGCTGTTTCTCAAAGTTGAGAACCTTTGCTTTATCCTTTGTGTACGTTCCTAAAATTTTTCGTCCCGGTGCCACGCACGAGAGACTTAGTAAAGGGGTTCAAGGCGCCGATGTGCGCTAAAAGTGGCTATTACTGGGCTTCTTACCCTACGCTTTGCATCGACTTTGAAAAATGCCACTTCGCACACCATGATGCCTTTGTTTCACCGGTGTAGCGTACTCACTCGTGAGAACCATGTTGGGCTTGATCAAGGCGCCTCCATGCATGCTCCAGATCCAGCCGTTGGCATCGTAGTCCACGAGCACGTGGACGTTCCACCGCATGTGGTCGGACGACGCCCTGCTGTAGAGGTCGAAGCCATCGTCCTCGGGGTGCTCGTTCACGGACACGAACACGCCGCACTGCGGCATACAGGGCATGAGCCCCGTCCCGTTTGAGCCCCGATGGTCTGGGCCCCAACCTGAGCCAGGGTTGAGTCCCGACTTAAGCCCCCACCCAAGCCCCAATTTCCAGAGCCCGGATTGAGCCCCGTTTGAGCCCCACTTGAGCCCCATTTCAGCCCCGCGACCTGAAATCAAGCATTTTTGCATGATTTATTGCCAAGGGGCTCAATTGGGGCTCAAACGGGGCTCAGGTCGGGGCTCAATCCGGACTCTGGAAATTGGGGCTTGGGTCGGGGCTCAACCCGGGCTCAGGTTGGGGCTCAGGTCGGGGCTCAGACCATCGGGGCTCAAACGGGACGGGGCTCATGTCCTGCATGCCCGCACTGCGGGCCCATCACCCAAAGGAACATGGAAAGACTTCGCGCTAAAATCACTGAAAGTTGAATGGTCGGACACATCCCGTGACATATCAGGGTGTGGCAATGGCCAAGGGCATCGAAGCCATGCTCGCGCCTTCGGTGCAGGTGCAGGCAGGGGTTACGCAGCTCTTCGAGACAATGAAAACCAGGCCGTTGTTTTCAAAATGCTTTCCACAGATGAAAAGTAGGGTGGAGCTTAATTTCTGACCCTCTCTTTTTGTGGCCAAAATGGGACCTAAGGATGCTAGAAGACCATTAACTAGTCGCATTTGAACAGGAAAAAAGTGTAAGGGGCTCAGGGGGTTGCTCAAAGTTAGGTTACACATGTAAAAAATGGTGGTTTTTTAAGTGTTGCCTTCGAACTAAATAAGATATAAAAACGCGTGGGGTTTCATAAGATGCAGAATTCAATTACCTTTCTTACGAGCTATGTATGATTTGACTACGTTCTTTGCTAGAGCTATTTGTGCTTACATGAGATATGTCAGGCCGCCCGTACTGGCAGTTCTTTGGTCCCTGGTCGGCAATGCGCTCCTCTTTTGCTGCAACAAAAATAATTTTTGGTATAGTTCCGGCGTGAGTCATAGTGGTCCACAACCTTATTTAAACCGTTAAAGCCCTCTGTTCTAAAAATACATATATTTTTAAGAAAGCGTGGGGCTTTATGTGACAGGGCTATCACCATGAGACTGTAGATGTTTCTTCCAAACGCGTCGCTAGCCAACAGCTAAATTATTAGCCTTCAAACTTGAGGAAGCGTCCTGCAAAAGTTACCATTTAGGGTTCATTGGGTGACATTTTAGATTGTGGCCCGAATCGTGAGAAGGCTTGGGTGCGCAAGGAACAACCCTCCTCCCGTTTTAAAACTTGTGACCTCCCAACTCATAATGCTTCTATTTGGTGCGTTTGTGAGACTAAACGGGGACACAGCACTCACGGTTCTCCAGTTTCTTCATCTCCTGACCCAACCAGGACCGCAACTTCTCGTTGCTCATGTCTGCGGCCAGTAGCAGGTCGGATGAACGCTGCACCACATAATCCACATACAGTCCCTGCAAGTACCACAGGGAGTTGGTGTTCACCAGGAAACCGCCACCTTGCGTCTTGTTACCTAAGAGCAAAGTGTTTTTAACATCAGGACGAAGTTTGTGGTTTAGTTTGCAAAGCCGAATTTCTCCGCCGTACCGATGGAGCCATTTGGTCCTTCCGTACAGAACAGATCGCTCGCTGCCACGTCTCTGTCGTAGTCAGCCTGTTTTCTGACGCACTCATCCAGACCCAGATATGGCACGCCAATCATACTGTGGTTCGCTGGCTGCGTCTCGCCCCACCGCTCTACCTGTACATTAAGCTGGGTTAGCAAACAATCTGAAAACAAAAAGGCAACACCAAAATGCAAAAAAAAGGAAAACTGCGCAACAATTTCTGGCCCGGTCCCTCACTGAGATTCCAAACGCCATGAGTATAGCACGTACACACACATTTCTTCGTTACACTGTGCACAATCAAATGTTGTTGAGTGGAACTATCAACAACGTTCTGTCTACGTTCCAGGGGCCCCAAAATCAACTGTTTCGTTGTGTTTTGAACTTATCATGCAGTATTAAGGAGGCTCTAGTTATCGGATCGTGTTTTTCGGACCGTTAGACCGGCTCAAGTACCTTCCATTACAGTCCTAGGATTTGCGATCGGGCGGTTTCCCTAGCTGCAAGGGGCCTAAAAGTCCATAAAAATGACTTTCAAAGCGTCTTTTCGGTACACTTATGACTTACCAACCCTACCAGTCCTGGAACAAGCGGTTGCAGCACGTTACCGCTGAGGTCCAGGCACACCGGCGTGGAGAAGATGGCGTCCTCGGCAGCCAGCTCCAAGAGCACGGGGTTGCGACTACTGCCTATGCTCCAAGTGCTCTCCCCGTACATGGCCACCCGAACCACCTGCATCCACAAAATCCCAGGCTAAAATAAACATGGACTGGACCAAAGGGATGGCCAGGAGGGTGGAAATGGCCAAGGAAGCGCGCGAGGGGGAAATCACTCACGTAATAGTTTGGGTCACCGATCTTAGTATTACGCGTAATAGTAAAAGCGTAATAGCCAAATTTTTAAAAAATTTCCCTTAGGGTCCGATTTTAGCCTAAATCTGGATATTTTTGAGCGTAATAAGCCTTCTGTAATAGCGTAATAGAGCGTAATAGGGAGTAGTTGGGTCACAGTTTTTAAAAGTGATTTCCCCCTCGGAAGCGCGTGAAGCCATGCTCAAGCGGGGCGGGGTGCAGCGGTGACGCACGTCTTCGAGAATATGAAAACTAGGCCGGTGTTTGCAAAACACGTAGTACAGGATCAAAGAGCATGAAATTAAGGGTGCATTAGGCCCAGTGGCCTGCCTGAGTGCCCTCAATTTAGCCCACACAAGGAAGGCAATTTGTACATTGAGTTGGCACGGCCGATAAGCTTTCAAAATTTTCGAGTTTTCGCGCTTTTTTATTCCAAACCCATCAATTTATTTTGGGTTAACCAGAAGGTATCGAGGAAGGCAATTAGCCTTATGCACCCTTCGTTTCATGATCTTCTCATCTGTGCAAACCGTTTTGAAAAGAAAGGCCCAGTTTTCACAATCTTAAAGAAGTGCGCAACCCCTGCTAGGGTGAAGTGAAAGTCTGGGATAGTGAAACTAGAGTCGGGCTGAAATACTTCAAGACATCCTAAGACTAGCTGCAATGCCCAATTTGACCCATCGAACCCCCTTCCACCCCCTGATGTGAGCCAAAGTTTGATCTATGAGGCAAAATAGGTACTTTTTGCCTCGTAGCGGCCGAATCAGGCATAATTCCGGAGACGTCTCAAGTCAAGTCGATTCGGAATTTCATAACGAAGTGATTGGTATAAGAATAAACCATTTCCGACAATATCCTACGCTTGGCCTATCTCGATTTATGGTGAAAAGCTACAGATTAACAGCGAAAATGTCTCTTGGTACAGATCGTAGCTCAGTAATAATAGGTCCAAGACAAAAAAGTGCGAAGTAAAATCTTCTTGTCTTGTCAAATTACTTCCGAAGTAGTGATTTGGGACCAATATGGTTGGATCAAGGTCTCACTCAAAGTCTATTCTCACTGAGAATCCGTCGCTTTTCTCCATAAATGAGGTATTTTGCGATAGTGAAGAAGAGAAAGAAGAAGATGCGGCGGTGGGGGTAGAACAGAACAAACCCTCTTTTGTTTAGGCAGTTTGTCTGTTTGGGGGTGGGGCGGGTGGGGGCCTCATGGCCGCCAAACAAATGAGGGTTTGTGATGTTCTACCCCTACCGCCGCATCTTCTTCTTGCTCTTCTTCACTATCGCAAAATACCTCATTGCGATTGGCCAAGCGTAGGTTATCATCGGAAATGGTTCATTCATATAAGAGTGCTGGTTTTCTTTCGTTTTGGGTATCATCCCTGTTTCTGAGTGTAAGTTACTTGTGGGATTTCCATCTTTACTCACCGATGCTGCTTTTGTTGTGCCGTCCTGTTCTGTACTGTACACCATAATTTTTCTCTGAGTGTTGGGGGAGAAATTGTTGACCGTCGTCCCACCCGGGGCTGCTTTCAGGATCACGCGAGCTGCCGAACCGGTAAGGTTATTTCGCAACACCGAAAACTTTAAAGCCCCCCTGGAGTACTGGTTCGCTGATCGCTCAGCCAACAATTCTAAAGATTAAAACGATGTGTCTCTAATAACCCAAAAGTGTCTCATATTTCCCCTGTTTACAGTACATGCACCTTGGGTTGTTATTGACAAACCTGTGACCACGAGCTTTGGATGCAGTAGCAGCCCTGACCCGACGACTTCGCCTCCCCTGCCTGCCACCGCCACGTTCCACGGCATGTGCCCGGGCCGTTGCTTCAGCCCCAGTAGCGGCTCGCAGAGGTTGACGTTTCCGCACTGCAACAGCGACCAGTCACACGCATCAGCGCTCAGCGTCATCGAAACCCCAAACCCTACTCTGCTAACTGAAGTGTGTGTGTGATTCCGTGCGTAGGGGGTCATTTTGGATGTACCAAATGTCCTTTTTTAAAGTTCAACTTTAGGGGCTAAAATTTTGGGGTAGAGGCATACATAGTACCCCCCCGTACCCCTCTGAGCGTGGCAGCGCTACAAGTTGACTTTTAATTTCACCCCCTATGAAATACGGCGGAATTTACAGAAAAAATGACGGAATTTACAGAAAAAATGACGGAATTTACAGAAAAAATGACGGAATTTACAGATTTCGGAATTTACAAAGCGAAGTGTTTAGTCTCCTGACCCGCTGGGTTACAAGATAGGCAAAAACTGTTGACGGTGTTATTTTGAGCATCCAAAATCTTTTTTTTTCAGCGCAGGTTGTGGGAACTGTCTCCCTCAGATGGAGGAGCACGGCTCGAAACGGAATTTACATCTATTTGTACACCCTTACCTTTTTGAACAATTCTGACGGCCTGGAAGCGTCGTTTGACCCCCCCCAGTCCCGCGGGCATGGGTTTCTGGAAGCTTTTTTTAGGGGTTCCGACGAAGGGGGCCCCTATTCCCCGGGGGCCGCTCAGAATTCTTCTTCTACGGACCCCCCAGGATGGACATTTCGCTCCCGCCATTTTAAACCCTTTTAATAATACAAAAAAAAGTCCAGAAAATCTTAAAAATTTATCGTGGAAATTTTCCGTAAACGACTAAAACATAAATTTGCAACAATCAAGCACCCTTATCCGTTCACATTTTCCAGAAACTTTTCGAAGAAAAATGTGCCACTCCTAAAAACTAAACTTCCTCCTCATCAAAGTGACAAAAACTAATCACTGTTCTAAAAAAATAATAAAAACATGAAAAAAAATTTCTCGATGAAAACGTCCCACTGCCATTATACCAACTGTAAAAATTTTAAAGTCCATGAAAAAAAGAAATTAAAACGCCGAAAAATTCACAAATGCCAATGTTCACTCATTGTACACTGATAAAACTTTACACATAATTAAAATCTGTCATTAGTAAAAACTTCACACCCAAAAAGACAGAAAAAATAGTTTTTTCCGCATTTGGGCAAAAATTTTTTCTCGGCGTCTGCGCCCTTTCAAAAATCGCGAGGCTGAAAAAACGAGTAGTCGCGCATTGAAACTGCCCCTCCATTGTTGCTGGGGTTTGGGATTGTTTGGCTTGTTTTTAAAAGGCTGCGGTTCTCGTCTCATGTTTTCCTCAATTCTATAACCAGCACGACGGTTGGTTTGAAAAATTTTTTTAAACTCGGGAGGGGTGCTTTCAAACCGGGGATGACTTTCGGTTGACGAACATGAGCGAGCACTGAAAATCGCGAGATCGCGAGATGGACTGAGATGGTCATTGTTTAACTGAATCACTTTTGGGAATGTAAAAATATCGGTAGGATTCAAAGTTACGTAAATAACGGTAAAATTAACGTAATTAACGTTTAAATGACAGATTTCAAAATGATTTCCACAACCGGAACACCGTGCAATGCGTAAGCATTGGAATTTTTTATGTTCTTCCGATACCAAGTGGTCGCGAGGTTCTAAAACGAAAAGGAACCCCAGTAGACCGTCAGTTGTAAAAGCAGCATAGGTGACATGGCACGCGGTGGACATTTTCCCATAGGCTGTTTGGGGTTCAACCAGTGATAATAAAAAGGGTCATCTTCCGTAATTTTGCGAAGAAAAAGTCAGGGAAGAGAGTGAAATAGCCTGTTTTCTTTTGATGTGGCTGAGTCAAAACTACAGCATGGCAATGTTGTCTTATAGGTGTTGGTGACCATGACGGAACTTAAAAAACGACACTTTAGCAGCTTACAAAACCCTAGAAAAAAAAAGTTAGATTGATTTTCCACATGAGGACATGGTCTTCGTTTAGTAAAACAAATTTGAGTTGCCCAAGCTACCAAATCAACCTCAGTTCAGGCGCAAGGCCCCGGTGACCTGAAATGACCCCCTACGCGCGGAATCACCCGTGTACATAATACACTCTAATTACAGCATGCTTCCAAGCACACTTTTTAGCAGAGGATACCTTTACTGCTACCTTTATTGCTACCTAGAACAATACAAGACACATAAAGGTGTCAGCTAGCTTTTTGGCGAGCGATAGCGAGCCCTTGCCGTGTTTGGGCGCTCCAAAAAGTGACTGGTCGTGCGTCTGTCTGTCCGTCTGTTCGTACACGCTCACGTTTCTCAGCGACTACAACAGGTATAGTTTCCATACTTCGCATTTAGCGTCGTCTTACTTCCGCCCAAAACGAGTTTGTTTCAAATCGTTGTTTAGTATCGTTTGAAATATTCAAAACATGTTTTTGAATCAGTTTATTAGCATGGTTAGGTTGGCAGCAGTTACCAATTTCTCATACCTGCGGCCGCGGCTCTCAAATACGGGACACAAGCAAATCAACAAATAAAACAAAATAAATAGCAGAACGGTTTGGAAATGAGATCGACCTTAGTTTTTCAACATTCTAGAATGATTGAAACCCCTCCGGAGTGTCAACGCTGTGAAATACGGAAAATGAAAGTGACAAATATTACGCGTTTCGTCCGTCCGTCCGCCCCCTCTCCTCCCCCGCTACAGGGAAAATGTTTTAGTCAGTGGAGTGTGTGTGTGTTTGATAATTGCAAGAATGATTTGGTCTTTGTAAGCTTTGAGAGTGTATTTCCATTTTTATTCTCAGACATTATACTTTTTAGTAGTTTGCTTGGCTCAATAACAGTTAGAAAATAGATTAATAAAATCTAAAAGTACAAACCAGATTCTAATCTTGCCAAAATAAATAGTCTTTGCTGACTCTTGGCACTGACTCTGGGAAAAGGCTTCATTGCAATGCTGTAAGTTTACTATAGTAGTAACCTTAAAGATAACTATATGGTGAGTGAGTGTAACACATACAAGGTTTGACATTGACATCTGATTCATTGAGACGATTCAGTGACTTGGTCATATAATTTCATGAGACGATTCTTCGAACTTCATTATATATTGTCTGCGACAACTGGTAATTTGTGTCGGTCATGGTTTGAGCTTTTAATTTACTCAGAATGTTAGGTAAATACTTATGCTATACTGTTTCAAAAATTAAATATCACATCATGACTATCATTATGAATAAGATTAACTTGCGTTTAGCAATAAGTGGGCTCGACATTGGATTCTATGAAACGATTCATTGGATCTGACAGAAGGTCTTCTCCGTAAACTAGTTGCAATCAGCCTGCCTGTAAATGTGTCTCTTTTTAATTAATTGAGATAAATCAATATAGTTTCAACCACTAGTTTAAAATAAAAGGGAGATAAAAGGCTTTTTAGGTATTACAAATAACATTGCGTATTCATAAGTTCAATAACAATGAGATATCGAATGGTAATTGAAGCATTTGTGAATCGTACTAAGCAATTCAATGCTGACTGTTGAATGTTACTCGACTGAGTAACAGTGTCAGGGTTCATGTTACGACACCATGAACAGGAAACACACTTAGAAATTGTGTTCATGTTAACAACTGCAGACCCATACTTTCACCTAGAATTACATGATTTTGGACCAGAATTTCCTCAGTGAGTCATTGCTCCCTGCACTATTTGGTGTGCTGATCACAAAAAAGACTTTTATTTTCACCCCAGACCTTTACTTTTCCAAATATTTACCAATTTTGGGCCAAAAATTTTTTAAATCGAGTTTTGCATAGTTTCCTGCAGTTTTTGGTGTGCTGATCACGAAAATGACTTCCAATTTCATCCCAGACTTTTACTTTTCCCAAAAATTTTCCGATTTCGGACCAAAATTTTTTAAATCGAGTTTTACATAGTTTCCTGCAGTTTTTGGTGTGCTGAACACGAAAATGACTTCCAATTTCATCCCAGACCTTTACTTTTCCAAATATTTAGCAATTTCGGACCAAAATTTTTAAGTTGAGTTTTACATAGTTTCCTGCAGTTTTTGGTGTGCTGATCACGAAAATGACTTCCAATTTCATCCCAGACCTTTACTTTTCCAAATATTTAGCAATTTTGGACCAAAATTTGTAAGTCGAGTTTTACATAGTTTTCCCGCAGTTTTTTGGGGGCTGACCACGAAATGACTTTCAATTTCATCCCAGACCTTTACTTTCCCCAAATTTTTCCAAACTGTGACCCAAAAATTTTAAAGTTGAGTTTCCCATTGTTTCCTGCGTTCTCAGTAAGATAATCACGAAAATGAAGAATTTCCCGGGCCCCTTTTTTACGGGAAAACACTATATTTGGGCCCTTTTTCTGCACATTTCGCTATCTCCTATAAGAATGTGTTCAGACGCATCGCTCGCCTACTACGCGCCCAAACTAAACGGCGCGTACCCCTAGTACTCGAGAGTCCAGAAACCAAAGTGTGAATCCTAACAATAATAGGGGCTGGCGGGGCGGCCGGGGCGGGATGGTGTCGCAGTCTGCGCGAAACATCGACAATGGCACCCCTCCTCGCGCGCGACGGCCTGCTCACTGGCCACTCACTCCCCCGGTACAGCGCCGGCAGACCCATGCGGACGACGAGGCTCCGCCTTCCTCGCGAGGCGAAGGAGGAGGGGAAATGTAAATACTTTTAATATTTCTACAATGACACATCCTAAAGAATATAATTTTTATTCATACATGTTCTCACTCTTTTTTGCAGTTTTAAAAACAAAACAGTCATGAGGCACCTGCTACAACTAGCACCCCACACAATACCAAAAAAATATCATCGAAAGAAAACCAAACGAGTATCATCTGCTTTCATTAACGTTCGTTGAATGAGATTTTTTCACAGCATACCTGCTAGGCACACGCTTATATGGAGTGCAGGGTGGCCACTCAAATTTCCAAAAAAAAATTCCCGGTTTTTTTTCCCCTTTTTACCGGTCAAAATTTAAAGGGTTTTCTTGGGTTTTTTTAGTGGTTCC